TTAGACCTGCAATTTTTAACTTAAGGAATGTCCGCTTAACTGCTTTTACGAAAATAAAATTAAGGTACTTTGTAGCTTCTTATTTGTAAGAAGTATTTACAATATGATATCGGATGACTGGGCAGAAAATTTCCATTCTTAAAAAGTAGCAAAGCTATGAATTTGAATTTATTTTTAAAATGGATATCAAATTTTATGATGTTTTGTTTTTAGTTACTAAGAGTTAACGACTAATGTAATTTGATTTTTTTATGATTCTATTTTTTTAATTCCCCAGGATTCTTGTGTTAGACAAGGGGGAGGTGAGAGAATATGACACACCACAAAACTTACTGAAGAACACTGATGGCATTTTCTACAGCATGGCTAAAACAGCAGGCTTGGTATCATAGGGCCACAAGACAGGGCTAATATCTTAGGGCCACAAGACAGGCCTGGTATCTTAGGGCCACAAGACAGGTCTGGTATCTTAGGGCCACAAGACAGGTCTGGTATCATAGGGCCACAAGACAGGGCTAATATCTTAGGGCCACAAGACAGGCCTGGTATCTTAGGGCCACAAGACAGGTCTGGTATCTTAGGGCCACAAGACAGGTCGGGTATCTTAGCTCTACAAGACAGGTCTGGTATCTTAGGGCCACAAGACAGGTCTGGTATCTTAGGGCCACAAGACAGGTCTGGTATCTTAGGGCCACAAGACAGGTCTGGTATCTTAAGGCCACAAGACAGGCCTGGTATCTTAGGGCCACTAGACAGGTCTGGTATCTTAGGGCCACAAGACAGGTCTGGTATCTTAGGGCCACAAGACAGGTCTGGTATCTTAGGGCCACAAGACAGGTCTGGTATCTTAGGGCCACAAGACAGGTCTGGTATCTTAGGGCCACAAGACAGGCCTGGTATCTTAGGGCCACAAGACAGGCCTGGTATCTTAGGGCCACAAGACAGGTCTGGTATCTTAAGGCCACAAGACAGGTCTGGTATCTTAGGGCCTCAAGACAGGTCTGGTATCTTAGGGCCACAAGACAGGCCTGGTATCTTAGGGCCACAAGACAGGTCTGGTATCTTAGGGCCACAAGACAGGTCTGGTATCTTAGGGCCACAAGACAGGTCTGGTATCTTAGGGCCACAAGACAGGTCTGGTATCTTAGGGCCACAAGACAGGCCTGGTATCTTAGGGCCACAAGACAGGTCTGGTATCTTAGGGCCACAAGACAGGTCTGGTATCTTAGGGCCACAAGACAGGCCTGGTATCTTAGCTCTACAAGACAGGTCGGGTATCTTAGCTCTACAAGACAGGTCGGGTATCTTAGCTCTACAAGACAGGTCGGGTATCTTAGCTCTACAAGACAGGTCGGGTATCTTAGCTCTACAAGACAGGTCTGGTATCTTAGCTCTACAAGACAGGTCGCGTATCTTAGCTCTACAAGACAGGTCGGGTATCTTAGCTCTACAAGACAGGTCGGGTATCTTAGCTCTACAAGACAGGTCGAGTATCTTAGCTCTACAAGACAGGTCTGGTATCTTAGCTCTACAAGACAGGTCTGGTATCTTAGGGCCACAAGACAGGCCTGGTATCTTAGGGCCACAAGACAGGTCGGGTATCTTAGGGCCACAAGACAGGTCTGGTATCTTAGGGCCACAAGACAGGTCTGGTATCTTAGGGCCACAAGACAGGTCTGGTATCTTAGGGCCACAAGACAGGTCGGGTATCTTAGGGCCACAAGACAGGTCTGGTATCTTAGGGCCACAAGACAGGCCTGGTATCTTAGGGCCACAAGACAGACTTGGTATCTTAGGGCCACAAGACAGGCCTGGTATCTTAGGGCCTCAAGACAGGTCTGGTATCTTAGGGCCACAAGACAGGTCTGGTATCTTAGGGCCACAAGACAGGTCTGGTATCTTAGGGCCACAAGACAGACCTGGTATCTTAGGGCCACAAGACAGGTCTGGTATCTTAAGGCCACAAGACAGGCCTGATATCTTAGGGCCATAAGACAGGTCTGGTATCTTAGGGTCACAAGACAGGCCTTGTATCTTAGGGCCACAAGACAGGGCTGATATCTTTGGGCCACAAGACAGGCCTGGTATCTTAGGGCCACAAGACAGGTCTGGTATCTTAGGACCACAAGACAGGCCTGGTATCTTAGGGCCACAAGACAGGTCTGGTATCTTAGCTCTACAAGACAGGTCTGGTATCTTAGGACCACAAGACAGGTCTGGTATCTTAGCTCTACAAGACAGGTCTGGTATCTTAGGGCCACAAGACAGGCCTGGTATCTTAGGGCCACAAGACAGGCCTGGTATCTTAGGGCCTCAAGACAGGTCTGGTATCTTAGGGTCACAAGACAGACCTGGTATCTTAGCTCTACAAGACAGGTCGGGTATCTTAGCTCTACAAGACAGGTCTGGTATCTTAGGACCACAAGACAGGCCTGGTATCTTAGGGCCACAAGACAGGGCTGATATCTTTGGGCCACAAGACAGGCCTGGTATCTTAGGGCCACAAGACAGGCCTTGTATCTTAGGGCCACAAGACAGGTCTGGTATCTTAGGGCCACAATACGGGGCTGATATCTTTGGGCCACATGACAGGTCTGGTATCTTAGGGCCACAAGACAGGGCCGATATCTTAGGGCCACAAGACAGGTCTGGTATCTTAGCGCTACAAGACAGGCCTGGTATCTTAGCGCTACAAGACAGGTCTGGTATCTTAGCGCTACAAGACAGGTCTAGTAGCACCAGTTTGTTTTACATGATCGACTGCTTGTTTCTGTCTGGGCAGCAAATAGTGTTTTTGTATGTTACTTTTGTTGAAATGATTGACAACTGTCCGTGTATGAGATGATATATGTAAATGTGACGCACTACATATTGGTCATTGTTGACAACCTGGTTATAGAGTCATTTTTCATAAACTGGTTATTTAGTCATTGTTGATACCCTGGTCGTTTCACTACATGGTGGTCATTGTTGATAACCTGCTTATTTCACCATGTTAGTCATTGTTGATAAACTGTCTATTTAAGAAGTTGGTGCTTGTTGATAATTTTAAAAGCTTTAATACTTGTCAGTATCAGATTCAAAGATGTTACTAATTTTACTGTGTAAAATTTTGAATTAATTTATTCACACATGAAAAACATTTGGAAGCCAGTAAGTCAAAAAATGTTTATTCTAGCTACTGGTCATATTATGTTAAGTGTGTTTTAGTCATATATTATAACCACAGTGGGGTGACCTGGGGGAACTCAGCCCTGGAGGAACCTCAGCCCTATTTAAATGCCATGTGTTCCTGTATTTTCCTTGCCCAGTTCAAAGTACACAGATCTGAGATATAATGCAGTGCTAATTGAATGACATTTTAAATATTGGTTGATCACATAGTCTTTCATTGAATATTTTATTTTTATAGGTTGTTTTTTAAATCTGGCTAACCAATTACGCTGGTCTAGTCTGAAGACCCATGCTATATTTATTCTTGCCAAATAGGTGTTTTATGTTTTAACTGTATTATTTGTGTAGAGCTCTACATTTTTATTTGGCATATCTTGTTGATAATTTATGGATAATAAATGTATCAATAATAAAAACTTTAAAAAAGTATGTCTTAAATGTATTTTGACTAATAAGTTAACTTTTTCCTTTGAAGAATAAAAATGATAATTATTCTACTTGAAGATATTACAATTTTTCTCTGTGGTCTGAAAAATTACATTTTTATGTCAATTTCATTTCTTATTATACTTTTTGTTGTTCCTGATCGAACTAAACTGATAGGTCTAGACATGTTTATTTCTATCTGTAATTGTCACAATTTACTCTTTTTTCTCTTCTGATAGTCTAGTCCCCAGTGGTGGTTATACAGGCTTGACAAAGTCTGCACTCATAATCACATGTATTGGAATTTTTTTTTTAAAGCAATGCTTTATTTTTAAGTTATAATTTTAAATTTGGGGGAGAGTTCTAAATTTTAAATGTCAAGTAATTATTAAATTGCACATTTATATGCTCCTACCTGTTGTCACCAAAAACAATCAGTCATCGGAGCAGGGATCATATGAGAAAAATGTTTGAGAAGCCTTGGCCGAACTCACAGGATGAATACCACTAGCCTAGTTTTTACTAGCACCGGTAGAGCTATAGATATACTGTTAGAGATTTTTTTTTCTGATCAATTCATGGTATGCCTGACGTTTTTTGTTTTTTGGGTTGAAGAAAAAATATGGTCTTGTAGCTCTACTTTTAAAAAAAAAACATTAGAAATACCACCATACAAAAAGAAAATCGGATATTGAAACAGAGGTTTTCAAAAAGGGGCACACACCTCAATCGGAGACAATAGTACTATCAACTATGGAAGGCGTGAAAACATTAATAGAAATGTAGGCTTACAAACAACCATCCCGACATCCTGCATAAATAGAAGCAAACTCTCCTTTGTGTTAAATTTCTCATCTGGTATAGTTGCGCAAAAATTACTACATAATATAATTAATTACTTAAAACATAAAATAAGCATCATGTTAAGTAAAATGTCATCGTATCTTGACCCACGTGCCAAGTTTCAGAGAAACTTCAAACACATTAAAAAGGGTAAGCCTATTTTATTTTATTATTTAGATATATTTATTTTTATTATTTTACTTTATATTTTATTCATTTATTGCGTTGGGCTTATATGGCACACGGGCGTGTAAGGCCGAAATTTTAAAAGTTGGCGTGAAAAAGTTCGGAAGCGACCAGATAACAAAAAAAAATGGCAGACAAAATGGCGTAAGGGCAAAAATAGCTTAATGTTACGGAGATTAATGTCACATTAATAAGTGATTATTCGAAATTTGTACATTTTGAAATTTACTTTATTCATTTTCAGAGACACTTAATTCTTACATACAGGACTAGATCTACTTACTTAATAGATCTAGATTCTAGTAGAAGTAGTAGAATCTTTCAATCTACTTATTTTTCCGAACTTGCATCAGTGATTCACTCACCTCACAGTTCACACTGTCTCGATCAACTGTCTGGAATGCATGACAGAATTTCTGCTATTTGAATAGGATATCTCCTAATGGGAGTTTAACAAAAGTAAGACTGTTTTGGCATTAGATAAATTAGAGATCATGGGTTCACCATACATCGTGATTCAGTGTAGATCTTAGTCTAGAAGTCTAGAAGAATCTATTATGACTAGATCTAGATTCTCTATATGAAATGTTTAAGTTTAAAATAATATTTTAATAAAATATTTCTCCATTTCCTTATTTTATTTGAGTGCCAGCAAACTCTAGAATAATGTTAACTAGAATCTAGCTAGATCTATATATTTAATTTATATAATAATTGTGAATCAGTTATATCAAAATAGATTATTTAAAAAACACCCTGTTAAACTAGGAACAATTCTTTATTTAAGATTTTAAGTTCACAGAAAAGCATCTTTTGATGTTGTCATGTTTTTCTCTTTTGAACTTTTCATGTGTTTTCTTGATTTCACAGGATGAATAACATCGGCTATCAACTTCTAGATAATAAACTTAATGGCTTTTGTGATGATCCACTTTGGGTACGTTTTTATCAGCCAATAAATGTATAGGGTTATTTTCATTAATAACCAATGTAAGAGCCAGGCAATGTAATTTTTGCGTATTTTAGGACATAGGTTTGACCTGGTACAACACATGGCCAGAGTTCACTAAGTGTTTCCAGTCAACCGTCCTCGTTTGGATACCCTGTGGATGGCTGTGGCTCACCGCACCCTTCTATATTTGGTACCTGGCCAGTTCCAGTAGGATCCAATCTGGCCATATCTTTAGTAAACTGTTTATTTTTAAACTGGTAAGTTTTTCTATTTGTAACCATGTAAAAATAACTAGCAGTGTTGTTCTGATGGTGCATGTGAATGCTTAAGTAGTTTGTATATTTGTAAATCTTTTAACAGAACAGTGTTAATTTTAATTGTTACCTTGTATCACCATATGATCAATACATGTTTTAGTAATAAGAAAATAAGTTTAGATGATCCATGGAGCAGATGAAATTGATTTCATCTGTTTCTCTCACATCAGCATATCAAAGGTTTATTTGATCAGCTTTATGATCAGTTGTCTTTATTTTTCCCACCTTCAGTAAGGTACCTATCAGACTAGGTTGGCCTAAGAACACCTTGCCGATTTGAGCCCAGGATTGAAACTTAAGACTTTGCAACTTCTAATTGTGTGCTGTACCACTTGACCATGCCATCCCATTGTTTAGGTTATAGTTGGCAAAAAATAAAAATAAAACTATAAACAGCTTGAATCGAGAGTATCTTTTTTAATAATTCTTATTAGGTACTAGGATTTGGCTCCCGTTTTTCGATGCGCGGCGAGATTTTCCTCCCGTTACCCAAATACCGAGAGTTGGCGGACGCGCGAGTGCGAGTGTTTCGTAATTTTTATTATTCTCCGTTTTTGCCTGGTCAATTTTATTGCGAGGAGTATTATTTTGAAGAAAAATGGACTTAGCGTATTATATATTTTTTAAAAATATTTTCATGGACTATTTTTTATGGAGTGTTTCATTGAAAATAAGGTAAGTTTGACTTATTCCCTAAACTTCTCTATGGGCTCTACTTGAAATTTTTTTGCATAATCTCCATTCTTATCCATTTTTCTCTATTACTGTAAAAAATCGTAATGATTGGATGTGTCTCTTAGCTGCAAAACGCTTCACAGTTTGGTGTACTGTTTGGGACTTTAACTGTTTACAGACTGGAAGTGAAAGTGAACCGGAAGTTGTCGGGTCTCGCTACTAACACTTGTGTGACTTAGTCTAGCTGATATGCTTGTATTACTGTAATTACGATTGTGGCGATCGTTGTTTTGACTCTGGCGATAGTGGCGAACGCTGTTTTGATTCGGGCGATAGTGGCGAATGCTGTTTTGATTCGGGCAATAGTGGCAAACGCTGTTTTGACTCGGGCGATAATGGCGAACGCTGTTTTGACGCCGGCAAAAGTAGCTAACGCCTTTTTTATTCGGGCGTTAGTGGCGAATACTGTTTTGACTCTGGCGCTTATGGCGAACGCTGTTTTGACACTGGTGATAGTACCGAAGGCATTTTTGACTCGGGCGTTGGTGGTGGGCGAAGTTTTGACAATGGCGATCGTTGTTTTGACTCTGGCGATAGTGGGAAACGCTGTTTTACTACTTTTACGCAGGCGATATTGGCGAGCGCTGTGTTGATGCTGGCGATTATGTCGAGCTTTGTTTTGACGCCCGCTATAGTGGCGAACGTTGTTTTGACGCCGACGAGCGTAGTTTTGACGCCGACGAGCGTAGTTTTGACGCCGACGAGCGTTGTTTTGACGCCGACGAGCGTTGTTTTGACGCCGACGAGCGTTGTTTTGACGCCGGTGATAGTGGCGAACGTTGTTTTGACGCCGGTGATAGTGACGAACGTTGTTTTGACGCCGGCGATAGTGGCGATCGTTGTTTTGACGCAGGTGATAGTGGCGAACGTTGTTTTGACGCCGGCGATAGTGACGAACGTTGTTTTGACGCCGGCGATAGTGGCGATCGTTGTTTTGACGCAGGTGATAGTGGCGAACGTTGTTTTGACGCCGGCGATCGCTGTTTTGACGCCGGCGATAGTGGCGAGCGTTGTTTTGATATTGACGGTAGTGGGGGGGGGGGGGGGGGAAGAAAGGAAGGTCTGGTATTAACAATACACATTAAATATTTGGTGTATTCAGAAAACCTTTTTATTTTGATGGGAAGGCAAATAATGTACTTGTACTCTTTACTTTTCCAGATAGAACCTACACTTCTAAAACCAGCACATCTCTACAATATGATAAGCAGTTACATGGCCTAATGACAGTTATATGGTCTAATGATGGAACACTATGTAAAAGAGAAATTAAAACTATTAAAATAAATAATGTGTTTATCTTTTATTTAGGCAAACTAATTAATTTGTGATATGAACTATTTCCTTTAAAAACCAACCAATGTTGAACATCTCCTGAAATGTAATATATTAACGAATAAGCAGAAACACATCTTTTTAAATTAAACTATATATATAAGTATACAAACAAGTTTATTACATTTATACGAATAAAACACCTTACATTTCTAATAGGTATAATGTGCCTTTTTTTTTTAAAATTTAAATATAAGCGCTCAGTTTTTCAACGATGTCAGGTGTGTCGATGACTCAGCATTTTACATTTTTACCATCCTTTACCTATTTGTCAACTATTTAGATAGAACCATCACACACACTTATTTTAGAGCTTCACTCTAGTTAGTTGTTAGCTTTAGATTCAAATAGATTGAGCCTAAACAAATAGTGTATGAACAAATTTCGTATTTAAAAATAGGGGGTGTACCCTGTTCCACCCCTTATTTTTTGTCAAACAGATAGATTTAAACACATATTTTGATTGTTTCTGTTTGAAAATAGAGTCATCTACAGCCAGGCAAATTTTGAGACTTAAGTGCTTAATAACTCAAATTTGCCATCATGTTGCATTTCACATCAACAAGACTTCGGTTTTGCGAAATTGTATAATTTATCAGCTTTGTAGCAGTTAAAACAAAAATCTTTTCAGTTATGAATATTATTTTGATTGTAATAACTGACACATCCATAGCTCATCATTCTCAGCAAGTTTGAGCTTAATTTTTCAAAGTGTTAAAATTTTAACTGAGATTTTATGAATGCACTGGATATGAAAAAATAGGGGGGGGGTACCCTGTTCTACTTCTGTTTTTGTTTAACTCTGCCCATAAATTTCTAATTTTATTGTTTACTATCCTTGCATATATGATAGATAAAGATATTGCAAAGTTATAACCAATTTGACCATATGGTTTACAAGCTAGGACAATTTTAGTAAACGCTTAAAAAAACTCTATCACAGAAATTGGAAAAAAACCTATGTTAAAAAAATCGCCTTTTTTAATACGAAAAAAAATCATAACTATTTAACCGTTTGAGCTACATCAAAAAGGAAAACTGTTCTGTTATTGTAATTTTTTGCTCCTTTTAACTGTAGTGGTTCTTTCCCTATTAAACCAATTTTCAAAATTTATCCTAGTACCTAATTCTTATTGATCAAGAAGGTTAGCTCATTTGTACAGTGAAGTGTCTTTTCTCTTATTAGGTAATCTTGTTTGCTCTACTAATTCTAACAATTATCAACCTACTGAATGTTATCAGTAAGAAAGGAATTACTTCACCAGACAGATTATTAAAAGCTGATGTTTTTGACCAAGCTACACTCATTTTAACTTTGGTAATTACATTTTTTTTCTGGATATTATACATTACTTTTTTTTTAGTACTTTTGACATTAACATTTAATTTTAAATAAATGTGAAATTTTTATTTTTAATTAATTTTATTCCATAATAGAAATTGTATCTTTATTTAGTGTTAAAATTTGAGACTGAGAAATTGCTTTTAATAAAAGAATAAATTATTTATTAGGGCCTATTATTATTTTATTATAATTACTGTTCTATTTTTACCAGTTTCTAGCATTTGCTTATACAATAGCAGAAAGAATAAAGCGCTTTGTAACATCAGGGATCTTGTTCATATTTTGGCTCTTGCTGCTACTCACGAACATTGTTCACTTCTACACCTACATAAAGCTAGAGGTAAAACTTGTCTAGTTGGCTGCAATAATCCACTGCCTCTTTCTACAGGAAAATGTACAATAACTTCAAGTATAGTACTCAATTAGACATTAAGATATACAAAATTTTTTTTTACTTTCTCTGATCAAGTGCCTAACAGAGTTGGGAACACAAGAACTGAACACTAGACTTTCAGGCTAATAATCTTGACCATGTCATCACATACATTGTCTCAGCAGAAGTGCTAATTATTAAGAGAAAAATAATAAACACAACATAAGAATATCTTCAAACACAAGGCTGTTTAAATTAATTAGAGGCTAGTAAAAAATAATGTTTTTTTACAGGTGTATGCAACAGATTTGTTTGTTTTCTCAACATTTTACGTCCAGTTCTTCTGCTATATAATGGAATTTCTATTACATTTTTTTGCTGAAAAAAGTAAAATACATTTTATTAACAAAAATAGGGTATGTGTATTTCAATGTTTAAATAAGTTTTATTTTATTTTTCCTTTATGAATTTAAATAAAATAATTAAATACAATATTTATATTTCCTAGAATTCACTTTTCAAGTAGTGTCTATAATTTGTTGGAATAACTTTTTTGAACTGTCAACTTGATTTTTCTTCATATTCTTAGAAACCAAGTCCTGAAAACAATGCTTCATTTCCATCTCGATTCACTTTCTGGTGGATGCAAAGGTAAATTTTACAAAAAGATTGAACATAAAGTTAATAACTTAAGAAAATGTATTTAGAGTAAATATTTAATAAGGATTTATTTTTACTTGTATAGTAGATTTTTTTTTTTACTTTGGCTTATGAAATATTATCATGATAAATTGTATAGCTTAATATGTAATTCCTTTTATTTTTGGAGCAGCATCATTAAGGAAAAATAAATTATTTTTTAATTTGTCTTGTTAAACAGTATCATGAAGCAAGGCTACAAGCAGCCCCTGACAGAGAAGGTGATGCCTGATCTTGCCCCTAGGGACAAATGTCAAACCATTCTGCCAAGATTTTTAAATCGATGGACCCCAGCATTAGAGGCAGCTCAAAGAAAGTAAAACAAGTTTTTGCTTTGTCAGAACTGAAAGTGTAACACTTGAATTTGTAAAGTAATTTTTACAAACAAAATTTTAGCCTTTACAGTGAGGAGTTGGTATAATTCAACCAAAACAAAGTGTGATTTATGGATGATCCCTAAACTTTAAATCACACGTTTGGCTCTCTGGTTCATGTTTGTAGGAAGTTCCTGTGTCCTTCCATGTCAGTGGGGTACCTGGTTTAAGTTAGGGAAAGTAAAGATGGCCCTGGCCTTTGTGCTGACCACACCATCCAGTCACATACTCTATGGGCAGTCTTTATAAAGATACATTATTTTTTAAATGGATTTGTAATGTGTTTTTTTTTTTTGCGTTATTTTTAAATGTATCTACTATTAATTTAAAACTCGATTATTTTTTTATTTCAAACTATAAGATTTTGAGGGTTAGGGTGCATTTATAAAATGTTATTTCTTTTCTTTAGATCAAAGAGAAAGAGAAAGCTTGGAGATGAGCATCCTCCCATGTCATCCAGTCAAAGAATAGATGGTAAAGTCAAAAAACTGAAAGAAGGGCCTTCACTTGTTTCAGTTTTGTTCAAAACTTTCTGGGCAGAATATTTTCTTAGTCAGATCTGGAAGTTGTTTCACGATGTGTTGCTACTGTGTAATCCCCTTCTCTTAGGGTAAGAGTTTTTTTTTTAGACTAGGTCTATTGTTTTCAAGATTTAAAATAAATCTCACTCTTTTTTGCATATTTCTTTAAATAGTCTTAATATTTTGTAAATTTTTAAAAGGCTTTTTGTATAAATAAATAATACTTTTAGATACTTTGTTTAATAAATTTTACAAGACTTTATAATTTGCTTTTTCTTACATCAGTAGACTCTCCCTGAGTACACCCAACTCTGATGGGTACCTAACTCATGTTAGGGAAAGGAAGGTGGCTGGGCATAGTGCTGACCACACTATCCCTTCATATGCTGAGGTCACATTAGCAGGTGAAACTCTATTTCACTTACCCCATAGATTGTCAGGTTTGGAAGGGGAGCTTTACTTTTTTTTCTACTTCATTTTATATTACCCCTTGAAAATTTTATATTGTTCAAATTATCTTTCTAATAGAATTTTTTTGACTATATAACACTACTTTTTAATAGCTTTTGTCTTAGTTTTAATTTTCTTAAAGGTTTCTCGTAGACTTTGTACAAAACAAGGAATCTGAACCATGGCATGGTTTCCTCCTGGCTGTGACTTTGTTCTTGTCCATGTGCATGCAGTCAATCCTGTTTAACCAGATGTATCACCAGTCTACCTCTCTTGGACTGAGAATCAGGGCTTCCATCATATCTTCAGTGTTTAGGAAAGTAAGTTTATTATATCGCTGTCATTAGGACATGTTCTTGAAACCTAGAATTAAAATTCACCATCTACTGCTATCATACTAGTCCACTAGCTGTGATATGTACTTGACAAATTTAAAGCAATTTGTTTGGCTTACCGCACAGTCCTGCCCTATTCTGTGGTAATTTTTTTAAATTTAAAATTATAAAACAAAGAGCATTATATTATTTTATAACTTTGTTTTGGTTAATTACCAATGATCAGTTGTTGTTTTTTAAAGTTTGATGTACATTATTATTTTCACATCCCTGTCTGACAAAACCTGGCCTCTTGTCCTCAGTCATTGACCATGGACAACGTGGCAAGGAAAGAATCAACTGTGGGTGAGGTGGTCAACCTGATGTCTGTGGATGCTGGCCACATTGAAAGTCTGATGAGTTATGCCTGGGCCATGTGGTCAAGTCCATTACAGATTGTTGTATCCATATATCTTCTATACATCATTATAGGTACTGGTAGTTGAAATGTTTCCCAATTTATAACATGTATCCCAAATTGATATTATATATAGCTAAAAAAATATTTTATGTAAAAGTAAAGTTTTAAGTTGTGTCTATGTATCTATGGATGAGTTTAGAAACATTCATGTTCCATAAGGGCTTCTAATTATGTTGTAATAAGCACCATGCCTAGCAACATGAACTTCCCCAGACTTTGACACAGGACAAAGTGTTGTCCTTAATTTGAGAGCTTGTGTTCACAGTCAGTTGTTCTACCGTTTAATAATGTCAGATATCCAACTCAAGACTTTCAGGTTAGCAGTTGTACACCCTACCATCCATCCGATGGGGTAACTGTTCAAAACTCCAAGCCAACTCAGTTTTAAGACAACTATTAAACCTTTTTCCAGGTATATCCATTTTTGTTGGTGCTGGCTTTTTGGTGCTTCTTATCCCTATCAATGGGTTTATCTCAGCCCAACTGGGCAAATTACAGATTAAGCTGATGGCTCATAAGGATGAGAGGATAAAAATTATGAATGAACTTCTTAGTGGGATCAAGGTTTGTTTTTCCCTGTGCCCATTTACACAATGTTTTATATGCAGATGAAGTTAAGTTCATGTTTTGTGACCCTAGTGTAGGAAGCACCATTCTTAAATGTATGTACTTTTTCACCCAAAGTTACGTAACTGAAGTCAAGACTTTTAGGTTAACATTAATACTCTATGCCACTTAGTATTAAGATTTTGTTTTTTCAACTGCTGTTTACTTTTATTGTACGTTATAATAGTCCCCTGTTGCTTTCAGATAGTGAAATTATTTGCATGGGAGAAAAGTTTTGAAAGGAGAATACTTGAAGTCCGTGATAAGGAACTGCAGAAACTACGTCGTTTTTCCCTCTTAGGGTGTAGCTTATCTTTTTCATGGTCTGTTGCACCATTCTTGGTAGGTTAAAAAACTCAATGATAGTGTAAAATGGAAGCATCGGTTCAGATAAATGGATTGTATGGTCACACCACTCCAGGACACAGACTTTATTTATTTATAAAAAGATTCAGCTTAGATCGAACTGGAACTATATTTTTCTTTCCCCACAGGTCTCCCTACTGACCTTCCTGAGTTATGTGTACCTGTCTAGTGACCACTACCTGAACCCTAAAACAGCTTTTGTTGCTATTTCACTTTTGGACATCTTGCGCTATGCTATTACCTTTGCCCCTATGATTGTTACAGATATAATAAAGGTAGTGTTTACAATTTTTTACTTGTATGTTTCTTTTTATCTTTTAAGGTACAAAAAATATCTAATGGAGAATAATTTGTATTACAGTTTCCATCTATAATAATAGTTTCGCTGTCTATCTATGTATCTATCTATCTATGTATCTATCTATCTATGTATCTGACAAGAACGCTCTAGAGAAAACACAAGCAATTTAAAAACCTTCACAGAGAAACGAAAACGAGATATGACGTCACATAGAAAATAATATCAAGCCGGAGAGTGCACACAGTAATATGACTTCATTGATTCTCGAGTAAACATTGAATAAAAAGGCAATTTTGTCTAATCTAAGTGGTTTGCGTGAAGAGCTTCTTCCATATAATTCTTCAGGTAGGGGCAATGCCCCACCCCCGCATAAGAACGTCTGAGCCCCCCCCCCCCCCCTCCCCAACTCAAAAGAAATTTCTTCAACGATACTCTATAATAAAATTACCGCCTAATTAATGTGTCTAATCTAAAAAGTTGTTTTCTTGCAATTTCTTTAATGCAATTCTTCGGGTAGTGGCTAAGCGCGACACCAGTGTTTCTTTCAGACTTTTTCCTCCCCCGAGGGGGGAACTTTTTCTAATCTAAAAAGTGTTTAGCATGCAGTTTTTTTTTCAAGCATCTCTTCTGGTAGGGGCGAAGCCCCGCCCAGATTCTTCCTTTAGTTTGTATGATCTACAAATGCGACCAGTGTTTCTTTCAGACCTTTTCCTCCCCGGAGAGGGGTGGGGGTACTTGAAATTTTCGGGGGCGGGATAGAATTTTCTGGAAGGGGCGGACACTGGAAAAAAGTATATAGATCTAATTATATTTCATTAAATGGGATGGTAGACATGTTTTGGGGTGTGTGGGGGGGAGGGGGGCTAAGCCCCCTCCTCCCAAGTAGAGTTGCCTGAAAGAAACTCTAAATGCGATTTTTGTCATGAATGAGATTAGGTGCATGGTTTAGGGATATGCCTATGACTATATTTTGTATAAATTAAAGTACCGAGAAAATAGCCAGCACTATCAACCTAGCGCCCGTTGTATCCTTCCTCAACGGGCCATTTTTCTTGTTTACAATATTTTGTGTTCAGTGGCCAATATAAGCTGTTTATTGAACCAGTTAAACAATATTTGAAGGCCGATTGTATACAGGTAAATTATTTATTCTACAGGCTGTTACCTCAGCTAAGCGAATAGAGAAGTTTCTTTGTCATGATGATCTGGATAAAGGAAATGTTCATCACACAGATCAGTTAGGTAAGCTTAATTACTTAATTAAAATAATTTAAATTACAAAAAATGGAGGGATTTTAGAGAACAGTATCCTGGCTGAATTTCACCACAGAGTATCTACTGTGTTGGCTACCTGAATTAATGAAAATAAAGGGCCCATTTTGTCATGAAAACTGAAAAATCATATAAATTAAAGGCCAATAACTGTTATAAAAATTTAAGTCACATAGCTGAATGTTGTGAAAACTAAAGGTTCATTACTACCACAAAAATCAAAGAACTATTACTGTCATTAAAATTAAATGTCATGGTATATAAAGGCTCACAAAAGTCTAATTTCTCCATGTTATATTACAGTACATGATTTAGTAGGTGTACAAAAAACACAGACGAACCATTTTAAAAACGCTATGTTCTCCCTACATTATCATTAGGGAGGATAATTTTTTTTAATATGACATTTAATTGTCTTAATTACAGACCATGTCGTCCACATAGAGAGGGGTACATTCAGATGGAGTTCTGAGTTTGGGATCACTTTAAAAAAGTTAGTTTGTATACCCTGAATAACAAAATAATATGCTTGTTTCTCCATTCATGGTTGTCTATAGCATAGTTGAAATAATAATGTTGTTAATTAAATAGTGTAATTGGTAGTACAAATGGCATATATTTTATATAATTAATAATATAAATAAGGAAAGTTAACAGCTTTTAAAATTATCATAGTTAATTTTACTTCTGTGTAAAATCTTGATCAAATTGGCAAGTTACTTCAGTGAAGTTTGTATATGTGTGTTTGTGGTTGTAGCATCAACATGAGTGTGGATGAAGGCAAGTTAGTGGCTGTAGTTGGCACTGTGGGCAGTGGCAAGTCTTCCTTGTTGTCTGCTTTACTGGGAGAGATGCAGATAATAGAAGGAAGGGTCAACATCAAGGTGAGGAAACATTGTGATAGCCAGCTTTAAGAGAGAATTAGAAAAAAAGGGTTTTTCTGCAAAATATTTTATTCTGTGAATGTTTTTATTATTTGTTTCACATATTCGTTGCCTGTGTTCAGTATTGCACATTGCTACTTTTTAAATTATTTTGCAGGGTAGTTTGGCTTATGTTTCACAGCAGGCATGGATACAGAACGACACATTGAAAAACAACATCTTGTTTGGGAGACCACTGGACCAGAAATTGTATGACAAGTGTCTCAATGCCTGTGCTCTGAGACCAGACCTGAACATCCTGCCTGCTGGGGATTTGACGGAGATTGGTGAAAAGGTGGGTTGGTTCAGTGCAAATTATTAACTACAGTTTATTTGGTCTAATTCACTCAGTTCAATTATTTGTGTATTTGGTTGAGTTCATTCAGTTTAGAAATTAAATTTAGATTACTTTAAGATTGTTACATGTAACTTCCATGTTTTTCTTTAACAGTTTTTGAAAATGGATTTTAGCTTTCATAACCAGTTCTCCTCTCCTTATGACACATGTTTAAGTTAAATCAGTCTATCACACTACTTTTATAGAATGTTATGACATGGCATCACAGGATCAGTTCTTCTATTTGTGCAGGGTATCAACCTCTCAGGGGGTCAGAAGCAGCGTGTGGCGCTAGCCCGGGCTGTGTACTCCCAGTCAGACATCTACCTGCTGGATGACCCTCTCAGTGCTGTGGACTCTCATGTTGGTCAGCACATCTTTGATCAAGTCATCAGCGAGGCTGGGCTCTTAAAAAGGAAGGTAATCCTAGTTTAATGGAAATAACATAAGTTGTTTGTATGGTTATGGATTATTGTTTTCATGGATATTTTATTTGAGTTCAAAATGATTTTCAATTTTTAAAACTAAACTTTATCTGCATTTAAAAAATTTAGGTTTTTATATTGAATAAAAGTATTTATGATTACTCTCATTTAGATTCTAAAATTAATTGCTTGTTTCAGGCAAGAATCTTGGTGACCCATGGAATCCAGTTTCTTCCTCGTACTGACCATATCATTGTAATGACTGGAGGTCAAATCTCTGAAGCTGGACACTTCAAGGACTTGATGACACACAATGGGCCATTCGCTAAGTTGATAACACTCCTTACCCAGAAAGTTGATCAAGATGATACTACAAGTAAAGAATGTGAGTTGATGGCATAATGATGGAAATGTCATGCTTCATCTTTTATTTATATATATATATATATATATATATATATATATATATATATATATACATATTGATCGTATTGCCAGAAAACTTTGAGAAATTGTTGAGAATACTCCTATGAAGGTTTCTGCCATTTAAAAAATTTATTTCAGAGGACGGTGACCAAGTGGTAGGGTGCGGTATGGCAGAGTTCTCCAGCAACTACCTTAGCACCTTGGGTTCATTGATTGGCTGTCCTGCAGGGGGGGGGGGGGGTCAGTGGTACTACTTCACCAGTAGTATCTACCAGTCCTGTCTGTTGAGTCACCCGGTGTGCCCCGGTCTCCCCAGTGAGCACTACATATATTTTTGAACAACACCCTACACCAGGGTCAAGCCAGGCTATAAGATTTTATGACTGAACAAAATCACCTGGCTGCCCTATGGAAGGGTAACCAGTGGTTCCCGAGAGCACCCTGGGATGCCCCTGAAACCTAGGAAGTCACCAAGGGGTGTTGTACCTCACTACTATGGAGGCTGATTTACACACAGTCAAGGGTTTCATCCAGCATGCCCCACACTCCAAAAACTAAGATGCAAAAATATAGCACTGCATAGATGAAACCCGAAATAAAATGTTATCACTCTGGTGTGTAGGACTACATCCCAGCAACATGCAAAGGGTACTCTAGTTGATTAATAATGTTTGGTTTTTATTAAAATCTTGTCTAGATTTAAGTTTTTATTTAGTATAAAATTGCTGTTTTGTTTAAATGTTGCCATTTTATGTTATAGTAAAGGAACTCCAAGAAATATTCCTAAAACAGATGTCTGAAGCGAAAAATGAAAATAAAGGAACAGCCATTGATATTTTAAGAAAGATATCTTCTACGTACGTTTCAATATCAGATTTTTCACATCTTAAGAATTAAAGTTTTGTAGTTGACGTTTGTGTAAAATTTAACTATTAAGTTTATCTTGTGATGGAGCAAAATAAAATTTACAGAAATTCCTTCATATAACTTTCAAATAATCTGTATGAATGCTTTTAGTTTTAACTTAAAATGTTGCCCTAGATAAACTGACATTAGTCTTCATATCTATAGCATAACACAGATCTCAGAGAAAAAGGAGATTTTGAGTGAAGAAAGGAAGCTTCAACAAAGTCAACAAGATACTCTGGTTGAAGAAGAAATGGTGGCCACTGGAAATGTACCAATTTTTTTTTTTTTACATTAGCCTAACACTGGGGAAAATTTTTTTTAAAATTAATATTGTAATAATCTTTCCATTAATAATATTTAAACTAAAGCTATTATTCCTGAAGATGATGTTTTTTTCTATGGTTTTTTTTTAATTGTATTATTATGGTAAGGAATTAAAGAAAATGGGAACATGTTTGTTCCATAATTATACAAGACTAACTATATAATTGTGAAAACAAAATTAAATTAAATATTAAATAGCTTTAGTGGCTTTCCACCTGTCAAATTTTGAACTTTTAAAAATGAACATGGAGCTATTAAAAAGATATATATAACTTGGTGTGCTTGATAGCAAGATTCCATTTCATTTTTTACAACTCATTATGCAGCTAAAAGTAGGAAAAAAAAATTTTTGAGAGGGTTAGTAGATGTAAATATTTTAATAAAAATCTTTTTGAAACAAATTTTTAGTTTCCCAAATTAAAATTTTTTTATTTAATAAAAAACAAACGCTACCTATCTGAATGCGCATTTTTAATCAAGTAAATATTTATCCACTAACAGGTCAGATTAGGAGTGTATAAACAGTATGCAAAGTCCATAGGATTCTTCTACCTCAGCCTGATCATTTTGTTCCATGCTGGCTACACAGCCTTTAGTATGGGCTCTTCTGTTTATTTAAGTATCTGGACTGATGATACCAACCTCGGCAACTTCACCAAATGGCCAAGTAACAGCACACAGAGGATGGATCAAAATAATTTCTACATTGGAATTTATGGGATCTTTGGCATTCTTCAAAGTGAGCTGAATTTTACAATTTTGTCTACAGAATTTAGAATTCATAATTTTATTTCTTAATATATGAAATATGACATCAAAATTTTAATTATCTTATGGGATCGGAGTGGTAGAGCAGGTAAAGCTCATGTTTGCTCAATCGAGCCTCATCAGCACAGGAGTTCACACATTGGATTGCTTGATTTAGCTACCATGAGCTTTATCTGCCCAACAACGCCAGCCCCCTAGATAGCAAAGAGAGATAATTAAAAAATCAAAAAACTGCTGCCTTGTAGTCTGTTGTTGGATGGAATTGGCTAAAGCAGGCTAAAATTGGAGTTAACTGAATTTTTGACACCTAATACTTAATTAAGTTTGAGAAAATCCCTTCCAATATTAGAATTAAAAATGAAGAAGTAGAAGACATTTTTGTATGGACTAGTAATTGTATTATATCTTTCAGTAATTTATTGAAGATGATTTTGTATTACATGCTACCTTTATGGGTAACTGACAAAGAATTATTGTTGATGATTTTTTTTTTACCATCTGCAGCCTTGTTTGTGATGGGTTACTCACTGACTGAGAGCTTCCGCAGCATCCACGCTTCAAGGAAACTTCACAGCTCCATGCTACAGTGCATCTTACACGCCCCCATGTCTTTCTTTGATACCACACCAGTCGGGCGCATCATCAACCGTTTCTCTAAAGACATGGACGATGTGGATGAGCAGATTCCCATGACATTCCACTACTCGATTGAGTGTGGTTTAGTCGTCCTGTCATCTGTGATTATTATCTCATATAGCACGCCAATATTTCTACCATTCCTCTTGCCCCTGGCTGTTTTCTATTTCTTTATTCAGGTTGGTATCTGGCTTTGTGTTTTACTTTTATATTCAAATTGAGTTTATATTGTACAAAAAAAAACTGAGTTTTTGTACAATTCATTAGACATTAGATTTCATTGGGTTTTTCTTTTTTAATCACAACAAAAAAAACTAATATTCCAACAGATTAACAGATTGATTTAATTTTTAATTAGTTTTACAGTTTAAAATGTTTCTATAATGCAAACCGCAAGGTAGGTGGGAGAGCACATGGTTGTTAACCTTAAATTCATGATTTCGAACTCCTAAGCAGATGAGGTTTGTTAGCTGGGGACATCAACCCATCTAAAAGAGAAGACTCCAAAATCAAACAATCAAAATCAAGCCCTGAGTGTTTCATCTCTTTGGGTGCATCCATTATCCCTCTGAACAAAAGGATCCACATTATCATAACGTCAGTAGGCTGTATTATCTTTTTATACACATCTCTTTCAGAGGTTTTTTATAACCACCTCCCGTCAACTGAAGCGACTAGGAGCCAAAACTACCTCTCCCATCTTTAACCATTTCAGTGAGACCCTGACTGGTGCTAGCGTTATCCGAGCATTCGGAGCGGAGAAAAGATTTGTACAAGAGGCTGATAGCAAGGTGGACTTGAATCAGATCTTCATGTTCATAACTTACAGTAGTGATAGGTAGGTCCATATGATCTAATAGTTATAAAATGTGCTCCATACAAAACTTATGTTGTAGTATGTGCTCTAGACTAGGCTACTCTAAATTGCAAATTGCAATCCATACTACTGTAAAGTAGCAATATCAAGATCGTACTATTGTATGTGTGCGATATTTGATTTATATTGCCACATATGAATCTCTGCTTTGTAAATCTTCAAGTTTTAAAACATGCAATTTATTTATAAAGTTTCATATATAGTGAGTTGAACTTACATAAGTGGGGTGTACCCTTTATTTTAGATGGCTTGGTGTACGTCTAGAGTTTGTGGGCAATGTGGTGACATTCGCCGCTGCCACTATAGCTGTGGCCACCAGGGATGTGATTAGTGGCGGTATCATGGGACTCTCCATCACTTATGCATTTCAAGTATGTCAAACCGTGTCAAACCCAGCCACTCATGTTAACCCTCCTAAAACTGGCAACTCATGTTAACCATGTTAAACCCAGCCACTCATGTTAACCATGTCAAATCCAGCCACTCATGTTAACTATGTCAAATCCAGCAACTCATGTTAACAATGTCAAATCCAGCAACTCATGTTAATCATGTCAAACCTAGCAACTCATGTTAATCATATCAAACCCAGCAACTCAGGTTAACCATGTTAAACCCAGCCACTCATGTTAACCATGTCAAACCCAGCCACTCATGTTAACCATGTCAAACCCAGCAACTCATGTTAACCCTCACAAAACTGGAAACTCTTGTTTACCATGTCAAACACAGCAACTTATTGTGATGATGCAAGTGAATTATATATTATAAATAGTTTAGAGGTCAAACAGATGAAAGGAGAAACAGAGCATAGTGTAGTCAGGTACACCAGTAGAATTTCAGGAGATGACCGGTCACATGCGATGGTCAGCTGATTAGGGAGCAGTTAGAGATAACATTAGAGCAAGTAGCAATCAGACGTGTTAGGTCGGTCAAAGTGGAGCATGGAGACAGTTGAAAAGTAGATAGTGTTAGAATTGGTCATGGGAGTGTGTAGTGGGAAGTCAAGTTTTAGTTGCAGTTAGATAGTGTTAGTAGACAGTCATGTTTTAGGACATAGTTATAGTAGGAGTTGAAGAATTATGTGTAAATAAAAAACTGTAGTATGTCTGAATTGGACCTTTTGTGTTTGATTTCATCACTGACTGTGCCAGGCTTTCTCGAACTTGGCACCACACTCATTTTAACCCTTTCAAACCCAGCAACTCTTGTTAACCCTTTCAAACCCAGCAACTAATGTTAACCCTTTCAATCCCAGCAACTCTTGTTATACCTGTCATCAGCTTGAAGTATATTACTCATTACCTGTTTCAGCTTTAATGAAATTGTACCCATCATATTTTCATTTAGAGTTAAAGAATTACGTAAAGCAGCATAAATTTGCAGTCTTATCTTTAAAATAAGATAGAATTAAAACATCATGTCTATCATGTCTATTTTTTTTTTTCAATTAATTCGTTTAAAAATCATTTTAATTTAATTTTGTTAAGACATTAAATTGTGACCCCTTACTAGGTGACGGGAAACCTAAATTGGTTGGTCAGAATGACAAGTGACCTTGAGTCTCATGTTGTATCAGTAGAGAGGATAATACAGTATACAGAACTTGACTCTGAGGTGAGAAACTTGTTATTCTATCACTGACATGTTATACATCAGTGGAGAGGGTAGTACAGTATACAGAACTTGACACTGAGGTGAGAAACTTGTTATTCTATCACTGACATGTTATACATCAGTGGAGAGGATAATACAGAAGGCCTATACAGAATTTGACACTGATGGAAAAAAACAAATTACCACCTTATCCCCAGTTTCTAGCTTTCCTTAGATGAATTACCTGCCTGTTAGCCTGTAAAATGTATTTGTTTTTTTCAGGCAGCCTGGGATAATTTCATGTACAAAAGTCCTGTTGGCTGGCCAACTACTGGACACGTCAAGATTGAAAATCTGAGTCTGCGCTATAGGGATGGCCTTGACTTTGTCTTGAAGTCGGTTAGCTTTGAAGTAAATGCTCAGGAAAAGGTGATTGTTGTTGTCAAACTAAATTATTTTGTATTCTTGTGATTTGTGATTTTTTTTTTTTACATTTTTTTATTTAGCAAAGTTGAATTAATCTGCAAGGGAAAAAAAGACTATTAAAACTTTTTTCAAAACATTATCTAATATTAAATCTCACTGTTTTGAGAACTTGGTTGAGAAAATCAAATTATGTCAGTATATACAAAAATGAATCTATTATTGTTCAAATTTTCTAACAATAGTTATCAAATTTTGAGTTTGCTTAAAGAAGTAGTTTGGTTTATAAACAACTGTTTTATTTTCATCAAACAACTAAAATATTATTTTGTGATATAGTTTACTTATTTAAGTGTTAAATCTCAAAACAGATTTAATTCTGTAGAAAATATTGTTGTCACTATTTTGTTTTTCTACTGTCACATTTTGTTTCAGGTTGGTATAGTGGGTCGCACAGGGGCAGGCAAATCTTCACTCACACAGGCACTGTTCAGGCTAGTGGAGCCTGCTGGTGGAAAGATTATTATTGATGAGATAGACATCAGCCAGCTAGGTCTACATGACCTGAGGTCAAAGATCACAATACTACCCCAGGTGGGACAACTCTTCATCCTAAATTTGGATGTCAAATGGATGTCAACACTTTATTATACTGGTCAAATGGGGGGTGGGCGGGCAACTCTTAATCATATTTTACATCACACTGTTCATTTGGGGGACATGTATAAGGGAATGGAACATGGCTGCTCAATCATAGACGTACAAAGAACTGTGGAAATGGCCTAAATATGTACCTCTCAGCTGTGTAGTAGTGGTAAACTTTTTGTAAAATACATTACCTTTTGCTAGTCATAGAGCAGTGCAATCAAAACATATGGCCCTTGTTTCTTAGAAGAAGGTTGGTCGTGAGCCTAACTGAAAGTGTTGACTGTTTAAATCTGTTGTTGAATGTGTTTGTTTGGCTGATGGTTCTGGTATTTTCCTGCAGGACCCTGTGATATTTGAAGGGACTCTAAGAACCAACTTGGACCCATTCAGTGAATTTGGGGAAGATGCTCTGTGGGTGGCGCTGGAACACGCACACCTGAAATCTTTTGTTGAAAGTCTGGCGGATAAGTTGGATCATCAGTGTGGTGAAGGTGGAGAAAATCTGAGGTAATGTTCTTGGTAGTTATAAACATCAGTGTGGAGAGGGGAGGGTGGAGAAAATCTGAGGTAGTGTTCTTGGTAGTTATAAACATCAGTGTGGAGAGGGGAGGGTGGAGAAAATCTGAGGTAGTGTTCTTGGTAGTTATAAACAATGTGGAGAAGGGAGGGTGGAGAAAATCTGTAAATATCCTGACATCATTTTGTTCATAATGCTGCTGATGAATCTGTACATACATGTCATGGTTAGGAAAATGATCTGAGTTAGGGTCATAAATTGCAACAAAAATTATAACCTCAAATACACAGACCTACTTTGCTAGTCAAATAAGTTACATGAAAATAAATTTAATTTAGTTGATTTTCTTCACCTTATGAATGTATGTATTTAAAAATGAACTTAAATGAAAAATAAAATAGAAATAGTTTTAACAAGTTACTTTTTTCTGTTTGCAACCACCTCCCACCAGTGTTGGACAGAGACAACTGCTATGCCTGGGCAGGGCTTTGCTGCGCAAGACAAAAATTCTGATACTGGACGAGGCAACAGCAGCTGTAGACATGGAGACAGATGAGCTGATTCAGACCACCATTAGACAAGAGTTCCAGAACTGTACCATCCTGACCATAGCTCACCGACTCAACACCATCATGGATTACAACAGGTGCTGGCATTACTTTATTAGATAATACTTGGAAAAGTAGATCTATTTTGGCCTAAAAGCAATCTTTCATTTAGACCTTCAATAAAGAAGACATTCATACATTTTTAACTTAACCCTTTACAGATGCATACATTGAATTATTTTAAAATGTTGGCAAAGGTATCTCTAAAAATCATCGATAAGGATGTTTTGCTCGGAGACTTAGTCTCTACGGAAACCGTATTGACAAGTGCCATTTTGTTGGGAGCCAATTTGTCTGGAGCCTATTTGTCGAGAGCCTATATGAAGGGGTTCATTTGTCGCTGGCCTTTTTGACGGGGGTCTTATGTTTTGTCATGGGCCGTTTTTATGCTGCACATACATTTAGTGATATTTTATTTTCAGTTATTTAGAGGTTTAGATTAACAACTATTGTAATTTGATTTTTTAAAAATTATTCAATATTTTTTTAATTCTCCAGGATTCTTGTGTTAGACAAGGGGGAGGTGAAAGAATATGATACACCACAAAACTTACTGAAGAATACTGATGGCATTTTCTACAGCATGGCTAAAACAGCAGGCTTGGTATCTTAGAGCCACAAGACTGTCAATGTATATAAGATGATGTATGTAAACGTGGCACACATGACTGTTAGCCATCTTTGATAACCTGGTTATTTCACTACATGTTGGTCATAGTTGATAACTTGGTTATTTTATCATTGTTGATGACCTGGTTATATAGTCATTGTTGATAACCTCGTTATATAGTGATAACCTGGTTATATAGACATTGTTGATAACCTGGTTATATAGTCATTGTTGATAACCTGGTTATATAGTCATTGTTGATAACCTGGTTATATAGTCATTGTTGATAACCTGGTTATTTCACTACATGTTGGTCATTGTTGATGACCTAGTTATAGATCACTGTTGATAACCTGGTTATATATCACTGTTGATAACCTGGTTATATAGTCATTGTTGATACCTATGATTTTTTTTATAAGCAATAACACTTGTCAGTATCAGATACAAAGATGTTTATAATTTTACTGTGTAAAGTTTTGAATATAACTTATTCACACTGAAAAAATATTTAAAAGTCAGTGATTCAAAAGGAATGTTTTATCCAGCCACTGGTCATATAATGTTAAGTGTGTTTTAGTCATATATTATAACAACAGTGGAGTGACCTGGGGGAACCTCAGCCCTATTTATATGTCACATGTTCCTATTGTTTGCTTCATGGGTTCATAGTACACAGATCTGAGATGTAATGCAATAATAATTCATAATTAAATGACAAATAGTTTAAACACTAGTTGATCACATTGTCTTTCATTGAATATTTATAGATTGTTTTTTTTTTAAAACCTGGCTAGTTAATGATGCTGGTCTAGTCAGAAGACATTTAAAATGTTATATTCATTCCTGCCAAATAGTTTTGTTTTAATGTTTTAACTGTATTATTTGGCATGGATAATAAATTTATTAATAAAAAAAACTATTTTAACTTTTATGTTAATTTTTTAATTTGAAGAATAAAAATGCTAATTATTCTACATGGAGATATTACAATTTTTCTCTGTGGTCTGAAAAATGACATTATTTGTCAATTTTATTTCTTATTGTAGTTTTTATTGTTCATGATACAGACTTTATATCTAAACATTTGTTTCTTACTATTTACCTTTTTTTTTACTTGTGGTTGCCAGGATTCTAATGGCAACAATAAATACATGACACATTCACCAATAGTGATAATATATGTACAGATCTAAATATTAAGATACTTTTTTTTTAATTATCTCTTTTAAATTTAAAAAAACAACAACTAATAATGCTTCTTTTTTAGTTTTGAATTAAGGGGTGAGGGTCTAAATTTACAATGTCTATTAATGTTGAAATTCTATATTTATGTGTTCCTTCCTGATGTCACCAAATAGTCTTCTTAGCAGGGATCTAATTAAGGAAAATGTTTGAGAAGCCTTGGTCCAACTCCCTGAATGAATACCAATTAGCCTAGTTCTGCTTGATTTTACTAGTCGAGCCACCCTGCTAGAGTTCAAGATTTGTCTGTCATTTATTTTATTTCTGTTAAAACAACCCACCAAAGACATCACCATATATAGAGAAAAACTGAATATTAAAACTGTATTTTTCAAACTGGGATATACACATTGTTAAATATCAAGCTTATATAAATATATACATATGTAACGCAAGGGAGCTCGTTAATAGAACGTCCCTGAGTCAACCTAGCTCTTATGGATACCGAACTCAAATTAGGGAAAGTAAAGGCAGCTGAACATTGTGGACTATCCCTTAAAATGACAAGGTTACAGAAACAAGTGAACTCTACTTCACTTGCCCATGGACCATCAGGTTAAAAAAGGGAACTTTTCATGTATATAATGTGTGTAAAATTTAAATAAATATACTACTTTTAATTGTTAAGTAAACCTACAACTACAACTTTAGATTGTTGAAATATTGAAAAATAGGATTTTTACTACATTCTAAGAGTTGTTTCCCCTTTTAAAAAGAATAATTCTGTTTACAAAGGGAGACATACAAAGACATTCAAAGTAAAAGTAAATTCTTCAATAAAATAACATTTGAAAACAATTAAATATTATAATATACAGAATAGTGTTAAAGAATGTTATTCCTCTCCCCCCCCCCCCCCCCCTTATTTGTATATCTGCCGCTCCAACAATATCCTGCACATTTGGAGTAAGGGCTCCCAAATCGTTAAATGTCCAGGACTCCCCCCCCCCTGCTGATGTGTTACACCACTGGGTCAGGGCCCCAATCTGTTAACGCCCAAGCCCCCCCCCCCCCCCCCCCCCGGTGGATCTGTTACGCCACTGGCTGTTTGTAGCAAAGAAAACGAAACATCCTTTGATACGTCCACAGCTTGCAGATCTGCACAACTCAATAGCAATTTTGTTTTCTTTAACAATTAATTAGGCGCATTCTCATATAATTAATTTTGTATATAACAAGAGAGAGAGTTGGTGTAGTCTAGTAGGTACTATAGTAATTTAATTAGGTATGCATTAATGTGCTTCTGTGTATGGGATTGGGAATGCGCAATTGTTTTAGGCTTTTAAAAGTAAGTTACATTTATTAATTTTTAAAGAAATAGTTGCTTTGAAATAATTCTTATCTCCGCCCCTGAAACCGGCGAGGTTAGATCTGTCTCCGCCTCTGAAACCGTCGAGGTCGGATTTTAGATCTAAACACGAGCTCGCGCTAAATTTGAGACGCTGCAACCTTTGAGTGTAACGTTAAGATTTTCACTAGTCGACACACGCGAGCCGTCAGCTGATCTCTTCCCAAACACGAGACTAACATGAGCCAGCAGAAGATTGGAGTCGTGGGCAGGTCAGCTGGTGTCTTTTAATGTTTGTTGTGTTGTTGTAGACCTACTTTTCTGTAAAGTCTGTTGTATAAATCATAATGACTGTGTAGTCGTGTGTGTTGTAGATCTAGTGTAGTAGTGTGTTTGCGCCGTCTGCTGTGTTTCTGACTGTGCAGTGTTATTACGTTATTGATTATGCCCTTTAGTTTGTCGGTGCCTAGTCTGTCCTTAGACTGTGCCGTTAGCCATTTACTGAGACTTATACTATAGTGAGACAGAAATACAATCGCCTTAATATATTAATATTCACCAAGTGCGCCCTACAGAAACAATAATAATAAATAATACATTATTCATCATTATGCTTCCACCTCACTAAATCTAGATCGGGTAGGTTTGTGGCAGAATAAACAGTTTAAAATGAACATAGCCCCTCTTGGTGCAAAACAATTGGGTGTCACCACAAACAATGCACATATTGTTTGATACGCGTAAAGGCCGTCTCCACACGATGACAGAACCGTAGCGAAGCACACTTGTATGTAAACAAGCCGTGGTCGTGGTTTAACGACTGCTTTTTTTATATAGGTCAAGGCCTCGTGTTCCGTATCAGATTCACTTGACCTTATATTTAGGTCACAGTGTGTGTATTTAAAAATGGCACTTGGCAGTATGCTAATGAGTGATATCGTCACATGTACGACTTATGACCTATGGTCCATAATGACCCGGACTATATTTCGAGCCGACCCTTTGAATCCCTGGCAGAACGAACCCCCGTCTAGGCCTCATTCAACCGGCGGGCTTGTTGTAATTGAGTTAAATAAAAACTCAAAACAATTTGTATTGTATGTCCACACAAAACGCCAGATCCTTCTAAAATGACACGAGTAGTTTTCAGCGGCCCTCACCCCCCCCCCTCCTATTTCCGAACCATATTTGTTATGAAAATGGGTTTTAATCAACAATTTTTACATTTACTCTGAAGAAACGCGCGTCACTTTTGTCACCGTATATCTAAACCCTCCCTCTTCCGCCTGCTAAACAAGGTAGGCCTATAGGCTTAGACCCCCCTCCCCGCGCTTTCTTTTTTCTCAAGGGGGGGGGGGGGGGGGGGCGGGCACTGATAAAAGTATATATTTTTTCAATATAAATTTCCATTTCGTTCTTTCGTTCGGGGGGGGGGGCGCTCATGAGCGCCCCCCCCCCCCCCCGGATATGCCTGGAAGAAACTGACCAATATGCTTACACTGATATAACTGATTATCAAACCAAGTCTTCGCGCCCATAAATGTTGGTTGACCTCTCTAATTGTTTTTCAAAATGCAAAATCGTGACTCGCTTTTTCCCCCAGATGTCCCATCTTCCCTTTTAAGGAGTATGACTTAATTCATGGACGACCCCTCAGACTTAATTAGAATATATTGCAGAGGCGTAGCGAGGGGGGGGGGGACATATGTCCCCGGGCGCCGACCTCAGGGGGGGGGCGCCAAATTGAAAGTTTGAGGGGGGTGCAAATGAAAAGTTCGAGGGGGGGTGCAAATCGAAAGTTTGAGGGGGGGGGTGCAAATCGAAAGTTTGTCCCAGGGCGCCGGGAGGGGTCGCTACGCCTCTGATATATTGTTCTGTTGTCCCATGTATCTGTGAATATGATAGGTTTTTTTTCTTCTACAAAAGTACCGACCCTTGGAACAAATCTTTCCACTTGCTAATGAACGTGCATGTTTCATATCTCCCAGCGGCCTAATTGGCAGGAGCTTCTCTATGATCTATGCCAGCGCCGGCTATAAAGTCGTCATCTATGACATCCAGGCCTCCCAGTTGGAGTCTGCGCAGAAAGACATCTGGCAGCAGCTGGTCGCTTTGGAAGGTCAAGGTCTCCTCAGGGGCACGCTGACGAAGGAGGAGCAGTTTAATAATATAAGCACCACATCCTGTCTGAAAGACTGCGTCAGTGGTGCTTTCTTGATACAGGTGAGACCAGTAGTACTACCATCTAGTGATTGGGGTAGGTCGAACGATGCCATCTTTTGGGTCTATGTAACAAACCTCCTTTTGCAAATTCTTTTGAGTTTCTGTCAGTGCCACCCCTTCACCACCCTTTTCCCCCATCCCCACTCCCACTCCACGACAAACAGCAAAATTATATAATGTATATACAAATTTCCAAAATGGTGTGTAGTAGTCGTCGTCGCCCCCCCCCCCCCCTCCCCCTCCCCACCCGAAAGTGCGCCCTCCCTCCCATTTGCGGAAAGATTTAATATTTCATTTTAAAGCAGAAAAAAAAAGTGGTTTAATGTATGGTAACTCCTGCACTCCCGCAAACTTTGCCTTAGTTATCTCAACCTAACCATTGTTCTAGTCTCTAGATAACGCACTAACAGCTGGATCCAGAAGTCTGGTTTCCACACGACATTTCTTTTTTTAATGCTGGGATTTTAAATTCATTGTTAATGAAGGTTGTTTCAAAGTCACATGGCTTAATTTTACAGTAATCATCTAGATGGATTAGCCATCCCCTTGGATTTAATTTTAAATTCTACACGATTAAATTGGCCCCACAGTGGTCCGTCTAGTGGGCGACACAAGGGAGGGGGGGCTGACCACATCATGTGACACCAATTAGGGGGTGACACCACGACGGAAAAACAATGTTGTATCTAGTTCAGATAACAAAATAGCAGAGTGGTGTGACACCAAACCGAAAATGCAAAATTGTTGGAGGTGGGGGGAGGGGTGATACCCCATCGTCTTCTAAACTAACAATTTACATCGCAAGATAACAGTTAGATAAGTAAAATGACAGAAACAAGTTTTTTTGTTTGCAGCCATTTAAAACAAATTTCTCTTGGTTTCAGCTAGCCGACAGTGCCTGTATATTTTAACGGTCAACTTTTGCCGTGCATTATGTTCTTTTCACTACATCGTTTGAAATAAACACAAAATAATTTTCGACTAAATTCCACATACCGTGGACTTTCGTCGGACCCTCCCCGAGTCCGCTTAAAAAGTACAATGACTTACTTGACTTGACTTAGTCCTCTTTGCTCCTTATGGAGCATAGGGCCTCCACCATTTCCTTCCATTTCTTCCTATCCTCGGCTATTAATTTTGACATCTCCCAAGACATCCCTATTGGCTTCAGTTCTTCAAGAAGACTCCGCCTCCAGGTCTGTCTTGGGCGCCCTCTCTTCCGCTTTCCCTGGGGGTTCCACTCAAGCGCTTGGCGTGTAACATTTGTGTGAGCATTTCGCAGTGTGTGACCCACCCAGCGCCACTTCCTCCTTCTTATTTGCACACCTATAGGCTCCTGCCTAGCTTTCCTCCATAGTTCCAAGTTCGGCACTTTGTCCTGCCATCTCAGTTTCAGTATCTGTCTAAGGCATCTATTCATGAAGGTCTGTATCTTTGCTGTGCTTGCCTTGGAGACTCTCCATGTCTCTGCTCCAAACAGCAGAACTGCCTTGACATTAGAGTTAAATATCCTAATTTTTGTGGTAATGGAGATGGCCGAACTTTTCCATATGGGTCGCAGGACTGTGAAAGCGCAGCGGGCTCTATTAACTCTAGCGCGTACAATAGGCTATTATAATGATAAAATCTGCCTCATCTAGTCAATGTTACCCATTAAACTTAAAGCTATAAACATCTTTAATCATAATTTGTGCGTGTTTGTATGCGAGGAGTGAAACCTAATTAACTAGAGCTTAGTCCAGTTTAAATAAAGTCGCTGAGGGGTAACATCCTTGAGTTACCACACCAGGTGTCACCCGACCTATGACGCTGCTGACCTAAGGCAGTGTGTTGTTAGCTGGCAACGTTTTATCCTCCAACAGGAATGTGTCCCAGAGGTTTTGGATCTCAAACGTCGCGTGTGGGCAGACGTCGACAAGTTGGTCAGCAATGACGTCATCTTGTCGTCATCCACCAGCGCCCTCCTACCGTCGGCAATATCAGAAGGGCTGCAGCACAAGAACCGCTTCATCATATCTCATCCGGTAAATAGTCGCAAAGACAAGAGAAGTCCACACGAAAAACCCACTGTCATTTTAATTATTTTAAAAAGGACCAAAAAAATAGTTTTTTTTTTAATTAATGAACAGGTTATCATAAAAATCGGGAATTATTATTTCTCCCTAATAGTCAAATGATATTTTCTAGAACAAAAATTATTTTAAAACTCATTAGGCATATAGATTTCTATGTCAATATAAAAGAACCAAGGGGGAAAACTAATTTTAAAAGAATTGAAACAAGGCAGGTAGTGCAGATAGCACCATATCAACTTAAATATTAAAATAATATACAATTTTAAAACCTGAGATAAATTTAAGCCAAAATACAAATGTTCATTATAGATAGTAATACTACTTTTGTATTCTTTTCAGACAAACCCTCCATTCTATGCCCCTGCCACAGAAGTAGTTCCAGCCAGCTGGACTGACCCTGACGTCACAGAGCGTACACTGTCTCTATTGAAAGAGGTTGGGCAGGTTCCAGTCCTCATAAAGAAAGAAGTGCCTGGGTTTGTCCTTAACCGCATTCAGTATGCCATTTTGGGAGAATGCTTCAGACTAATCAGGGTAAACTATCCTTATTTTATTTAGCTACCTAACTTAATAATAAGCATGGGATGGTGCGGTCTGGTGGTAGAGCACAGGATTACTAAAAAGAAAGTCTTAATTTCTTGTTTCCTGGACTGGAGTTCGCAATATGTCAGTCAGTGAGTCCACCCAACTCTGTTGGGTGATCTGAGGTTAGGTCAAATGAAGGCAGCTGGGCATAGAACTGACCACACTAATCCTTGATATACCAAATGTGAACTCTACTTCAACTGTCATACTGACCACCAGGTCCGAAAGGGTAACCTAATTTCTTTTAGTATATTGTAATATTTACTTTCAAATAGAGACCTACATCACTTGTATAGTGTGAAATATAGTTTTAATTAAACATATAAGTGGAACTACTATTGCATTATGATTTTGATATGCTGTATTGCCTGTATTACTGAATCTTGTCAAAATACTGGTGTGTAGGATGGAGTTGTTACAACTGAGGATTGTGACCTAATCATGTCACAAGGACTTGGTGTTAGATATGCTTTCATGGGTCCATGGGAGACAGCCTACCTCAATGCTGAAGGTAAGGATCATCAACTTTAAATAGGCTTTGATTATCATTCAGTATATATTACTTTTCAAATATATGTTATTAGAATAGTAATCTTAATCTACTCTACTGAAAGAATGCCACAATACTTTAAATATTAAAAGGCGTTATGTTCAACATTTTGTTTAGATTAACTCCCTTTAATTTTGTATGAAAATAAACTTTATGGTAATTTAATAATTTTAAAAAAGGAGGGTGGGCCTGCCAAGGAAGACATGGAGAAGAACGGTTGAAGAAGAGGTGAAAACAGCTGGGCACACATGGGCACAGATAAAGGGGGCAGCCCAAAACCAAGTCCGATGGAGATGTGTGGTTGCAGCCCTTTGCTCCCCAGGGGCCACAAAGGAATGATGATGATGATGATAATTTAATAAATTAATTTTTTTAAATCAACATTTTAACATTTGAAATATTATGTCATTTCAGGTATGTATAGCTACAGTGAACGTTACGCAGATATGATATTAAACATACAAAAAGACTTTGGCGAACCTGCACGCATGGATGGCCCCACGTTGGATGCCATACAACAAAGTCTAGAGAAGACTTCGGCCAAAGTAGAAGACCTACCAGCCAGAAGAGAGTGGAGAAACAAGAGACTGATTGCTTTAGCTAAGCTGAAACAAGAGCTAAACAAAGCTGACTAGCCAGTTGAATGTTAACTTTGTTTAACCTTATAACTTACATATTGTTGTATTGTAATGTTTATAAACAAGTTAATCTTAAAAAGTGGTAAATGAAAGCAATAAATTAAAGCAATATTAACTTAACTTGTTATAAATCTTTGGGTTTTTTTTCAAAGAAAAAGTGTATATTAGAATGATATCCCCCCCCCCCCCCCCTTATTACTATTCTTCACCTTTTTCTTGCATCCTTCCAAGCTTCCCTGTCTTTTTTTTATTTTTTCCATTTCTTTCCAGATCTTTCCAAAAACTTAAATGTAGCTTTTTATTTCTCTATGCCAGGTATATTTGTTGTTTGTGTCTCCCTTTTTTTATCCTTGTGGATTCCATGATAAACCTTGTTTGGTAATACTTGTTTCCGGTTTCCACAATGTATGACCTATTTGTCCCCAACTTCTTTTCCAATTTGTTTTGCTCCAATGAGGTTTGTCCTGTCTTTCCCATACTGTTGTGTTCACCCCCACCCCCACTGCATGCACACTGTAGGCAGGGCATTTACATCTCTGACCAGTTTACCAAAGTCTAAACCACATAAACTCCCATCTTCCAGTAGACAGGCTACACAACAAACATACTGACTAGACTAGGATGCAAGACATGTACAGCCCATAAGTAAACACAGGCTGTGATGTGTAATGAACTGTATTCCAGTTCATTTTTGTCTGTTGATGAAAATTGTTACTTCTACATATGATATTGAAACCTAAAAATAATCATTTCTGTGTAATGGCTACTTACTTTGTTGTTCTTGTCACCTAAAATTTACTCTCAAAGACAAATGAACACATTCATAATTTCCTAACATTTATTCCTTTTTCAACAGTTATTTTTATTGTATCAAAACACTTTTAAGATTAAAATTTCATGTCCACCCAAGTATTTATGCAACAAACAATTCACCCATTTTATTAAGACTTGTACGCTTAATACTTGTTTTGTCTTTCAACCACATGATGCCGGTTATGGTAGTTCTGTTACTATATTAAAATGTGTTGGAATTCTTAAGCTTAAGTGAAATAATTGGGAATAGTGATGGATAGATAAGAGAGCCTTTTATAGTCTTATTACGAAGCATTCAGCGCATGAATGTTAAATCTTAGATGAGATGCACACATTTTTAAAAATGTTTGGGAAGAGGGTGTCTTTTTAAAATATTTAGCTACATGTAAATGTTTTATAACTGGTTGCCTAACAAATGTTATATAATTTAGTAGAATGGGTTAGAGTAGTGGTTCAAATATATCAGTTTAAGTTTAATATGTCAACAATCCATTAGAGCAGAAATTTGAAAGATGCAGAAAAAAAACACAGGAGCGCATATTAAACATTCAGGTATTGAAAGATTTTTCAGCTCTGCTGGCCTGAAAGCTTAACAAAATTGAAATACAAAGGAGACTAAGACACTAAAGTGGAATTGAACTGGAAACACAGTGCCTCTATTTTTGAGTTGTTCAACATAGAATTTCCATCTGAAAGTGAAATCAGTGATATGTGCAATTAAGACAGTTGTTCATTGGAACGTGTTACCAACACACACTGCCTACATACATACATGTTGATGTAGGCCTAATCCAAAACGATTTTAAGATATTAGTGACGGTTTTATAACATTCCACATTTTAATAGACCCCCCCCTGCATGCACAACTGTAAAATGTAGGATACATAAACGAGGCAGACATCCCAAAGCAGTAGTTAAACACTAATGTCAATATGTTAAACGTGGATGAAACAATGACCAAACACTTGCGTTTGATTGTTTCTCCGATAGGCGCCGAAAAAAAACCACTAAGAAAACATGTCATTAAATTTGAAGATCTAGATCTAGATTAGTAATCATTTGATCATTTGTTATATGACTAGCAAATGGCGAGTACAAAGCTAGCTTTTTAAGCCGAAATTTATGGGTTTTTTAAATTCATTTATTTATTTATATTTTTAAAAACATCTGATCTAGATTTTTTTGGAGTTCGTTTTATTACATTTTAAAAAAGGCGCCAGTACTCACACTATCATAATAATTAGGTCTGTATTGTATCAATGCATGTCCTGGGGTCATCCATAAATTAAATTGGGTAGGCCTAACGCTTTTTGACGATTTCTCTTTCCCTCCTTCACGCATCGTCTCATCCCCCCCCCTCACCACACGTCACAAAGTTCCAGACCCCCCCCCCCCGAGTGTGACGTCATTTATGGACGACCCCTAGGTCGTGCTCTGCTTAGGCCGTAACAATTAATTATGATAAAATAGATTGTATGTATAGCATCTTTAAAATAGGGCCTAAAGATACGATTAACAACGCGAAATAAAATGCTTTTAAAAGTTTTATAAAATAAATTTCTTCTAAACAAAAATGCTTAAATATAGGCTACTTAGATCTATAAGTCGAATTTTATTTTTAGCTCTTTAAATTTATTACTTAACTTTTCTTTAGTTATTTTATGAGAATTGGTTCTCGGTGTTATGTATTTTAAAAATCAATGCTTGTTCAGTAGCTTTCGGAATATTTCAGTCATTAGAGTGACCGATTTTCATGGTTGCTTCGTTTTGAGTCAAAACAACTGATTTTGAATAATGGCAGATCCATTTGACAGAAATAGGCGCCGTAGGAGAAGAGATAGAAATGACTACGGAAGGTACACTGAAGATATTTCCCCCACTCCTCCTCCTAGTAAACCTCCAATGACTATTCTGGGACTTGCTAAACCCACCAGAGCTCCATCGAACACAGCTGTAACTACAACTGGTGTAGCGGGTAATGTCAGCGACCATCAAAATTCTAGCTTTAGTGCTACTAGTACTACTGCCATTGGAGATGGTGATGGATCAGAAAACACACTTGATCATCCAAGTGATCCTTCAACCATGCTTGATAAAACAGTTGTTGTCCTTTCTTCTGAGAACAAAAGTCGACTGACACCTGTGAAATCCAATGATATTGATCAGTTTGATTCTCGAACCAACGATGATAGTTCACACTTAACCGAAGATATTACCAGCACTGTTAAAAGAACACCAACAAGTACTGTTGGAAATATTATCAGTGGGGTAATAGACCAAGGAGCCCTTACTCAATCAAAGTTAGCTCCTCCGTTAGAAAAACAAATAAAAGTCAAATTGATTGATGACTCTTTTCAGTGGTGTGAAAGTGGACTAGACTCAATGCTCGAGCAAACAGATTATCTTGTTGTTGGGGTGATTGGTCTTCAAGGCTGTGGTAAATCCACCTTATTATCTCTCCTTGCTGGAAATACACATCAGGATGCATACAGGAACTATATATTTTTCCCCCAAACTAAAGAGGCTAAAGAAGACTGTCTCTTTCAAACATCTGGAATAGATATGTTTGTTACATCAGAAAGGGTTATTCTTTTAGACACCCAGCCACTCCTGAGTGCTTCTATGATGGACTGCTTATTACGATATGAAAGAAAATTTCCATCTGAATACACGTCTCTTCAGAATTATATTGAAATGCAATCATTACAGCTGCTTACGTTTTTGTTATCTGTATGTAACATTATTTTGGTGGCTGATGATTGGTTCATTGACATGAACTTAATGCAGCTGATTCAGGATGCAGAGATGTTAAAACCATCAACCCAGCCACCTTCTTCTGGTGAAAATGTTTCTTCCAAAGAAGATCCAATAGATTTTTATCCAACTGTTATTTTTGTCCATAACAAAGCTTCTAGAGATGACTTCACACCAGAAACTTACTTCTCCATGCAGCAAGTATTTGATAAATTGTTCCTATCATCTAAACTTAAAATACATGGTGGAATAAATATGACAAATGACAGCATGAATGAGGCAGTTATTCAACAGCTACCAGGAACAGAAGAACAAGCAGCTAGTGATGTTAATCTTTTGCTTATACCAGTGATGGAGTTCTACAAATCTGAACCTGAGTGGCTACAGACTACCCTTCCTGAATATAGAGGATATCCAAGTTTTAATACAATTCTTTCCTTCTTCAGGTCTCAGATTTTATCAGCGCCTCGTTCTCCTATGACACATGCCACATTGACAGAAAAAAACTGGTACCATTTTGCAGCAAGAATGTGGGACTCTGTAAAAAAATCGCCCTTGCTTGCTGAATATAACCGTCTGCTATCATCAGCTAATTGATGTACGCCTTTTAACGTTTACATGTCCTTATTTATTTAATGATTGTATTGGCAGTGCAGTTAGGATTTTTTTTATTATAAACCAAGATGAAGATTTTAATAGTAAAATGAGATAGAGAATGGAGCTGAAAGTGACTTTTGGAATGCATGCAATTCATTACATTTTTTTTGTGTCAATGTAATTCGTTTAAAAAATGTAATTAGTCATCATTGGGTCAAACTTAAAGCAAATTTTATTTTGTGAATTTTTTCTGTTCTTAGTAATTCTGTTAAACATACAAATATTATATTGAGTTAGTTTTCTTTGAAAACATAATTAATTATTTTAATTTTTGATGACTGATGTGACTTCAAAAAATACCTGGTGCATATTATTTTCTGTTTTATTACAATAAAAAATATATCATAAACCATATTAGTTTTGTTTTACATTTTGTTTTAAAAGCTGTTGACTAATTATGTTGTTGCTTATTGAAAAAAAACTGTTGAAAGAACTAAATAATTTATCTTGTTTAACACAATCCAACCAGCAGTAATTTAAACTAGTACAATAACATTTGGGTATGTGATTCTATAATTAAATTTACATTTGATGTTAAATAATAGTCTTGTGTTCAGTTACTGAAGGGGGGGGGGGGGAGGGGGCATATGGTCTCAGATGGCGAGTAAATAGGGCTGTACATAAAAATAACTTGTGTGCAGAATTTTAATTTAATCCAGCACGCATATTTTTAGCATAACTTCATTAACAAGTGAAGCGTGTTTAACAAAAATCACAAGCCAAAGAAATAACTGACAAGATTCGTTAATCAACAAATTTACAAATCAATAGTTAATCTGTGTTTCCAAAACTCTAGTACCCATAAGACATCATTTAAGAATTTAATATAAAAAACGGTCGATAAAGTATATATTATAAGCCGTTTCTCAATTTCAGTTTATAAATATACTAAGTTAATTAATGTAGACCAATGTTGTCATTTTAAAATAATTAAAAATAAAAACGAGATCTGGTAGATCTATATTGTAAACATTTTTCTACTGCTGTGAACTGCTACACAGATGCCTTGGCAATTCAACATTCTGTAAACATAAACAACAAAAGTAAAATAACATTAGTTTTATTAGTAGGCCTATTAAATATTAATTTGCTTACTTTTTCTACTAGATCTAGATCTAAATTAAAATGATAAGTAAGGCCTAATATGATATTGATACCATAAGGGTAAACCTTCATTTTAGCGTATTTTATTATTTTATTCCCTGCTTCAGGTTCACTTCCAGTTGAGCGTAGTACTAGACTAGTAGACTATAGTTAACTATAGTAGATAGATACTAGTAGAGATAGTATAAACTATAAACTCAGAAACTGCATTGTCTGTATAATAAAGTATTGTATTTTATTATAAACTACATAAAACATTAAACTATTTAGAATCTAGTAGATCTATCTATTGCCCAAGCTATGAATGATGTTTGCTGATAATAAAATCAATGTGAACTCATGGTGAACCCTCGACCGTGTAGGGATTTTTCTGCCTCTGACGATCTCATGCTATTTAATTGGAACTGTCCTAATACTTTTTTATGTTTTTTTTTTACCTTTTCAAATTAAAACTCACATTCATATAAAAAATAAATAGATATAGCTCTAATCCTTGTGTTTTTCTAACGTTTTTGTGTGTTTCGGTTGTGTTTATAATAAAATACGCTCAACTGGAGGTGAACGTGAAGCGGCGAATAAAATACGCTAAAATGGAGTTTTACCGCCTAATTGTTGTTTTTTTTTTTTAGAACCTTAAAAGAAAAAGTCAAAAGTAAAATTAAAAAAAAATTGTATGAGTGAATTGAATGAGAAAATTTAATTATTATTATTACCTAGATCTAGATCTATATCTAGCTTCTACTTCACAATTCCTACTAGATATATTAACTACTAACTTAAAAGTTAATTATTAATAGTAGGCCTATTAACTTTTAAGTAAGTTAGATCTAGTAGTAAATAGTAAATAGATCTAGTTAGCAGGAAATGTGAAGTAGAAGCTAGATATATAATAGGCCCCTAATATTAATAATATAATAATAATAATTACATTTTAATTTAATCATTTGATGTTTTGAAGATTAATTGAAAGTTAATGTGAAAGAAAGGTGACTAATTGATTGATATAATAATATGGGCTGGCTTTTATACAAGTATGTATATTAATTGTGATATATATATTTTTATTTTAAAAAAAGATGATTGGGGAGGGGGGGGATTTTTTATGCCATTGTACGATAACTGAATTGATAATACTAATAAAAATGATGGCTACAGCTCCTGGTTCAGTTTAATTACCGAACGTTGTATCCCACCCTGTCCCTATTGCAGGGTGCTCTTTGAAACTAATTTAGGTGCCTTAGTGCTCACAGTGGAGCCTGAGGTGCTAGTAATCCAGATGCAGAGGTGCGGATGGACACACCTGATTCAATTTAGTGAATGATTTTAGTAGTCATAGTGTATTACACTCTCTATATTGAACTTAGGTTCCATAGTGCTCACAGAGGAGCCTGGCAGGGCCAAATTGCACCCTGCTGGGCTGCTGCCCCTCTAAAATTAAAAAAAAATATTTTTTTTCGCAGAAACCCTCTCAAGAGCATTATCATTAACTTCCCAAAGTTTCATGGTAATTGAATGAAAGGTTATGCATAAAAGACAAACAAACAACCACACCCGCTTACTTTCATTTTTATATATAGAGAGAGATGAGCTGTAGAACCTAGTCACAGAAACAGATTTAACTGCATATGGACCACCATATCTGAAAAGTTAACACTAATAACTTAGATAATTACGCAATGTTTGAAAAAGAAGGCGAAAACTATATGAATGAAATCTCAGAGTTTAAATCCTACATACTGAGGGGTGATTGATAGTGATGGAAGTCAGTAGTTTCTGACTGAGGAGGGACTAACCTAAAATTACATAACTAGATATTAAGATAAATATAAACATTTTGAAGCTGTTAGTTTTATTTTTAGTTTAAATAGTCTTTAATACAAAAAGTCAAATTATGTTTTAAGACTAAAGAAAAGATTTAAGACCTAACGATGATGGCCTCAGCTTCATCTTTTGAAGAGTGTTGCCTCCATCAGTGTCTGAATAGTGCTTCATCAAAAGTCCTCAGCAAAAGTGATGCCTTTGTAAAAATTAGAGCTTTTGAGGTGAATAATATTTTTTTTACTTAATTCTAAACATTGATCTATATTGTGACCAGTTTTACAGGCTTGTTTGTTTTTTTAAGAATTTTCAATTTAGGTTTGGTTTTGAGTCTTTGTTGTACTATATTATTTTTTTCAGTTCTAAGAGTAATTTTCAATTTTAGAAGCTAAAATGGAATATATCTGTTTATTTGAGCTCAACTTTTGAATGAATTTTTATTTTTAAGGTTTATCCTCTTATAAGATACCTGATAACATGAGATGATGCTTACATGGCTAAATCAGTAGTATCATATTATGGTTTTATCCAGGTTACATGAGGTAACAAAAATAGACATGTATTATATTTTTTTGTCTCAGCCTGACAGAACAACACCACTCACAGTCGTGAACTGGGATAGAGGTGGAGTAGCCAAGTTTCACTATCAGTGCTGGGACAAGCTGCTGGAGGCCGCAAGACAGAATGGCAACGCTGGGCAGCTGCGTCTGACAGGTGCTGAGAGGAACATGGTCGTAGAGGGAGCGAAGACAGCAGAGTTTCATGACGCTGATGAGAAAGTTGAAGGGGAAGCAGCTCATATAGCTGAGATTCTACTCAACAGTAGGAATTGTATAGCATTCACAGGTGGATTTGATATACATGTTTAAGCTTAAACTCATTTCAGTTCCATAATTTTATGGGCTGAAAAGCAGACATCATCAACAAATTTCTAGTTTTGAGAAAACTGGTTTATTTGATAAAGAAAACAACTAATAATATAATTGACTTAATTATATTTTGACAAAACTAAGAATGAGTTTGGTGGAGTATCACACGATTGTTAGTATTTTGCTGTTATTAGCAATTTTAGTAGTTTTTAAGACATTTAAAATTTTGAAATTGTAAACATAGTGCCACATGAGGGCACTATCACCAATAGTTGTAACTTATTGTAAGGCAGCTTTCAAATTTGGGGGTTTATGGTGGTGGTGTGTGGGGTGAGGGGGGGGGGGGGGCTTGGCTCTGACTTCACCTGACTAAGCCACTGTGCATAATATCAATTAAAATTTAAAATTCATTGAGCATTGGTTTTATTTATTTTGCTTATAATTTTTATTTCTAGGGGCTGGTATTTCTACTGCTGCAGGCATTGGAGACTTCAGAGGGCTAGATGGAAAATGGACTAATCGTGACAAGAAAAAACAATATGGTCTGTATAAAAACAAAAGAAACAAATCTTTTAATTTACTTTTTAACATAAAATGTTGATTGCAATGATGACAGTAGAATAATAGTTTTAATCAGAGTAGAATAATAGTTTTGCTAAAATTTCTTTATTATATATTATGTTCAGACATTCTGCTTAGTTTCCTCTTTACTTCTTATACATTACCTGAACATATATCATTGTTTATACTATTGATTTGTCTATAAATTATATACTAATCATATTGTTAGTTTAGGTTATTACTTTTTGTTTATATTTCTTTTGTGGAATAGGTGCAAGTGCATCAAGCCTATCTACTTCTAAATGTAGCTTGATTGACCTTCGACCTACATATTCCCATGAGGCCCTGATCAAATTAATGGAAATTGGTTTGCTCTCGTTTATCATCAGTCAAAACACCGATGGCCTGCATCGTTTATCTGGCGTCCCTCCAGAGAAGATTGCAGAGCTACATGGAAACTCCTTTGTGGAAAAGTGTGAGAAGTGCCAGACTAGATATGAGAGGAGATTTCCAGCTAGAACAAACAAAATCAAGTGTCCCGACAATCCTTGCCGTATGTGTAAAATGAGCCACAGAACTGGTCGCAAATGTGAGAAAAGGGTACACTGCTCAGTTCTATTTGTGTAATATATTTTATTCCCTCAGTTCTATTTGTGTAATACATTTTATTCAAGCCTGTATACAAAGTACATTCAAGAATATGTAAAATAACTGAAGAAAGTCATATACATCAAGTTTTGGATAGTGCTGATAAGTACAATTCACCTTTGTGTTCATTTATTACTTGACCTCGGCATATAAAGCGATGGTGTGGCCAGCACTATGCCCAGCCGCCTTGACTTTCCCTAATCAGAGTCAGGTACTCACTAGAGCTGGGTGGACTCTGAAACATCCGCAGTCACAAGTCCAGACCGATATCCGATCTCAAGACCTTCAGGCTAGCTGTTGATAGTTCTACCATTTGACCACGCCCAGTTCCATGGATAGTGCAGATGGACTCATCAAATTGTTTGTACTTATAATCATTATCCAATAAAGGGTGGCTGAGATGCACCAGATTTGAGAATTTCTATTAAATTAAATATATGTAGTCATGTTGTTTCCCCCCCCCCCCCCCCTCCCCTCCACCACTTAGCTTAACCTTTACTGATTTAAAAAAAAAACAATATGTAATTAATATCTCCAGCGCTGTGATAGCTACTTGATGGACACAATCATCCACTTTGGAGACAATCTTGAGGATGAAGTGTTGAAGAGAGCCGAGTTTGAAGCAAGCAAAGCTGATGCTGTCCTGATACTGGGCTCAACGTTGATGGTGTCACCAGCTCATTTACTAGTGACAAGGGGACCAGAGCCACACAGACTTATTATCTGCAATAGGTCAGTTTGTTACAGAGCCACACAGACTTGTTATCTGCAATAGGTCAGTTGTGTTACAGAGCCACACAGACTTGTTATCTGCAATAGGTCAGTTTGTTACAGAGCCACACAGACTTGTTATCTGCAATAGGTCAGTTGTGTTACAGAGGCAATCAGTATCCAAATCTTGGCACTATTGGCTTTACCATGCCACACTACAGGTTGTTTTTTATAAATTCTAGTTTCTAAACAATGATAAAAAGATTGTCCATTCATAACATTAAATAAAAGGGTTTGGAGTGAATGGATTGAGTTACAGTGTAAAGGGTGGCTTCTACAAAGGGAGGACAGGACTTAAAATTCAAAATGATGTCTACAGTACTCTATACTTGATTTAATGTTTATCTGTTCCGGTACCTCCAGCTTGTTACTTTATTACTGTAAGGATTCATGAAATAGTTTTTCTACATTTGTAATTGTTGGTCCTTTTATTTGTAAATATAAAGATTTCAGTAACATAAGAAAACAAATTTAAAAATTACTGTAAATTTTGGAAATAAGTTATATAATTTAGAAAACAATCTAGTGTTGTTGGTTAAAAATCAGCATCAGTAAATAGTGCATCCTGTTTTACTGTAAAAAATGGAACTTACAGTAAATTATATAAATTTGTAAAAATCCATGATTTTGGAGGTTTGGATGTCATTCAAATTGTGTTTTGCTTTAATTTCTTTAATTTTGTTTGGCAGGCAAGTCACTCCATATGATGACGAGTGTTATAAAGTTGGGAGAGACATGAAGCAGCTGGGCTCTAGGGTGTTTGGGGACTGTGACTTTCTAATGAGGGAAGTTATGAAACACATCATGCCATCAGCTGAGCTACAACAGTGGGAGAAAGACAGAGCAGAAAGATTGAAAATTTATGACAGTAAACGTGGACTGGATTAAAATAATTAATTTAAAAAAATTTCCTTTCTACCATTAATCACCCTTATCAAGAGAGTTACAGAGTAACATAATAATGTGTATTGTAAACATAAAAATTAAAACAAATATTACACCATTGTATAACAATGTACAGTTTAATCAAGTTTAAAAACATTGTACAACGTTAAAACATTTTGTAAAATTTTATAAATAGAACATGTTTCAATTTATATAGATGAGATCAAGAGGAAATTCTTACATTAGAAAAATATGTGGCCCTTTACTAAACTTTTTCATATGTTAAAACAAAGAACATAAGGCCATTGTTTGTGTAAGAGAACACATAATTATAATATTGTTATAAATTTCATGACACAGAATGTGTATTCATTTTTCAAGTAAATTGAAGAATGAAATGAGCTGTTTGTACATTGTTTGAAGAATAGATGTAAAATAAATGGAAAAAATTTAAACAAATAAATGTGATTACGGTTTTTGAAACCCTTATGGGAATGTTAAAAATTGCTAAAAACGTCAAATATTGTTTTCTATTTATTCATACATGGACTTGACTTTTTTTATGTATTTATTAAATCAGATTTAAGTTACACAATAACTGTATCAGTATGTATTTCTGATTTATGTTTTATTAAAAATATATAAATAGCCAATATTTTGTATCTAAATTATCTTTTTTTAAAAACTACTATTAAACAAATGACAGTACAAAAATATTTGTAATGACTTTTGAATTATGAATGGTTTCAATGTTTGTAAAAAATACTGTACTGTATCAGCCAGTGGTATATTTAAAGTTCTGTGAGCTTGGAAGTAAAATACTGCAGTCAAATCAATAGTAAAATAATGGTTGATTCAATCGAAACATACAGTAAAATAATGGTTGATTCAATAGATACATACTGTAAAATAATGGTTGATTCAATAGAAACACAGTAAAAATCTGTTGTTGATTTAATAGCAACAGGAATAACAGATTAAATGATGTTTCTTAACATTCAAAATGTAGTTAGGTGAAATGTTGATATATACTTAGTTTAAAAAAAAGAAAATGTAGAAGTACATAAACATAATTAAGAAGAGAATAATAACTCTTTTAATAAATTATATTTCTATTCTATTAATTATACTAATTCATGTTGTATGCTTAAGTAAAAGCAAATTCATCGTAAATCTTTAATTAAAGGTCTATTATTGCTGACCTCATAATTTAATGGTATTGAGTTTCTAAAATGTAGTTTAAACACTATTGTTTTTGTAGTGATTAATATTTATATCTAGAAATAACACTCATTCTGGTATTCTCGAATAATTAAAAAAATTGATTTGTATCTTAATGTATATTTAAGGCACATGTATTGTTATTAATACATGACAAACTTACATATACAAATACAAGACATATTAAAATTTAAAAAATAGCTGTTGAAACAATAGAACTTTAGGTGGTCTAAAATTCTAAACTTTATTTTAAATGAACATAATACCACTGATTAAAAAGTAAATATTGCACATTTATTTGTAGTGAAAAACCCAACATATTATTAAAGAAAACAATAAAGTTAAATGTAAAACCAGGAATTAGCGGAGTTATCCTGACAACTATTTTTTTTATATGAATAAATATATCTCGGGCAGAACTAGCTTGTGCATAAATACTGATTTTCGTTATGTGATGAGAGGAGATTCCCAGTTGACACATATACTTCATTGTGTTGGAGGGGATCCCTTCCAACACTAAAATTAAGAACGAAGAAGTTGTGTGATGTAGCATTTCTAACACTTATTATGAATGAGTGCAGAAAAAACATCTAAACTGACCTACATAGAGTGACATGTCCGAGTTTCCTGAATACCACTGTAAAATGGTAGAGCCTTGTTTTGACCAGCATCATGTGGCTGAATAGGAATCTTTTTTCAGTAACCAGTTTCTACCTCTTTCATGGGGGACTGCCAGGAAAATTGCCGGTGACTAACAAAAGTGGAGAGAGCTTTCTGTGGTGGCCCATGTGTCTTGCAGCTTTCTGTGATGGCCCCATAAGTCTTGCGCACAAAAAGGAAAAGAGGATGATGAGTCACTACCTAGACCTGTGCACCACTTTTCTATCACCAGTCCTTTCATTGGCATACACCACTTTTTCTGTGACCATTTTTAATCCCTTCTTGTTGGGCTGTGATACTTTTTGTATCTTCTACTCCTCATCTGTATAAAGATCTTAGTTTTTGAAGATTAACTTTAGCCAGTTTGTTATTTGGTTCAACCTTCAGAACTTGAAGGTAATATTCTTCAGCTTTTTGATAATTTCCCTAAATAAAAAAGTATATTTAACAAAAAGAAATTATTTATTTTATTGTTGATTAATTTAGTAACTATAAAAGAACTGATATGATTTTCAAAACAAGTCAGAATCACTTCAACACAAAGGATAAAAGAATGTCAAAAACATGTCATTAGAACTGGGTTTTAGCGTTACCTTTATGTGATACAAAGCGCCAGCGCCATTTCGTGCCTCCACATAATCTGGATCTTTTTCTAAAGACTTTTCATAAAACTAAAAAAAAAAAGAAAAATTGTAGGGATATATTTATTGGCACAAATAAAGTATAATACAGTGGGGGCATGATAAGCTAAAATACTGTGATAATGAATTATTAAGTTTTGTAGTGATATTGAAATAAAATACCTTTAGTGCATTATCATAATCTTGCTTTAATCTAAATATCTCCGCTTGATCTTTGTACAATTGTTTCAAAGCTTTGTCCTCTGTCTTCTCAGCTATTTCTAAGGCACCTTGTATGAACTGAGCTGCCTGTGTTAAGTTAAACACATCGAATAAATGTGGGTAATTCTTTATGCATTTTTTGGCTATCATCTCTGTTTATGTGTTTTAATGTATATGTGCTGCACATTGTTAATAAATATAGGCGACATGTTTAGTTCTAAAATAGCAAATTAATTTAAAATCTAATTTCAAGTTACAAGATAAGCACAAAGAGACATAAACCTTCCCATCCCTTTAATTTGTTACTTCAAAAGCTTATTCTGATTATTTCCCCTTAGCTTCAATCTGGTCCATGAAATAGCTGAGCATATTGGATAATGCCAACATTCAAAATAAATATTTCAATACATATACAGTGAGTTAACTTTGTGTAATCATTTCCCTTCATTAAGTAGATCAAAGTGAAATATATACTTTAAAAAAAAAAGAATAGGCATTTCTATATTAATCAAAGCAAAAATTGAAAATATTATTACAAGATCATTTGATGAGCCTTGTTGTTTGAAAATGGTTAATTCAACACTACCTGCATAACTATTCCCATATCAGACATAAAAATCCTATCACTTTTTAGAAATATAAATATATAACACAAATTACATCTATGAGCCTTTTACATTGATAAATTAAACATCTATTGTTGATAAGTTACATGAAATCCTTACTATTGAAAACTTATATTGTGCATAACAATTTGAACATTTATTGTTGATAAATTACATTAAATTCTTACTGTTGAAAACTTACACTGTCCAATCTTCGCTGCTCCATAGAAAAGTTAAATGCAAACCAAACCACGGTCAGATCATTGGGGACCTTGTCCATGAGAAAGATAAGGTGAGCCCAGGCTTGTTCACTCTGGTTGTTTTCTTTTAGGGACTGGATCTGATAAAAAATGTTTACATTTTTTAATCTCATAAATACATAAAGATAAATATACAATAAATAAATAAGTATACAGATATAATAAGAAGATATTGTCCATGTGTTTTATAATTACTTTCTCGTATATACGTAGTATAGAGAAAGTATTGTAATCGTGCAAAAAAAAAAAATCGAGATTTTTACAAATCTCGACGTTTTACACCTCACTGATACGGAAAAAAATAATTTTGCAATCTTGTCCGTATGTCTGTGTGTGTGTGTGTCTGTCTGTCTGTCTGTCTGTCCGTGTGTAAACACGATAACTTGAGTACCGTTACAGCTAGGTTGATGAAATTTCATATATAAGTATTTTATCAAAATCGTAGATCCGTATCAACTTTTGAGCGATTTCCGATAACCGGAAGTGGTACTTTTCCTACTTTGAATTTTTCAAAAGCCTATAACTTGAGTACTATTTCAGATAGATAAATGAAATTTCACATGTAAGTAAAAGATCTAATTCTCTACCTTCTGTTAAATTTTGAGTAATTTCCGTTGACTGGAAGTAGTAATTTACGCTACTTCCGATTTCTCAAAAAACTAATGTAAATTTTTAAAGTACTAATAATATTGCGCACTATTATACGCGTTTTTATTCGGCGTTTGCTTGGTGCGCAATGTTTTTTTTATGAGATTCTATTCTATTTTTAAAAGTTTAAGTATTTAAAATGGATTAAAAATCATAACTATATCCCCAGTTACCACCCCCTGTTGTTTTATATAAGAATATTCGAGAAAGTTTAGGGGAGATCACTACCGGTTTATTTTTTTTATGATTTTAAAATTTTATACAAATATGAAAAAATATGTATTTCTTTTATTAATTCATAAATAAACAGAAATGAGAAGATACTTGTATATCTGTTTTTTAATAATATAAAATTATAGATATGTGTTGAAAAGTGTACTGTTCTTTTATCATTTTTCAAATATGTCTTTTATAGTGTTTTTATTTTAATTATTTTGTTGTGTGGGGAGGTAACTCAGTGCTGGACAGAAAAAAACATGGAGGAAAACTCTGAATGTAGGAACACTTACATATTTGAGCTGCACTTTGGTGTTATTGGGTGACATCTGTGTGGCCAGCTTATAGGTCAACACTGCATCTTTACCCTGCCCTGTCTTGGAGTAGACGCTGCCAAGCAGGCTAAAACACTCACTGCAATTTCTTTGGAGCTGAATGGCCCTTAAATAAACAATAATACTTAAACAATACTGTAATAAGAATAAACAAGAAAACATTTAAAAAATTTTAGTAAAATGTAGAATTTTAAAATTGTTGGTTAAAATCTGGCATAAAAGCGAAAACTTACTTGTTGAGCAGGCTGACGGCTTCTGAAAAATTGCCTAATTGTATACACAGTTTAGCCATGCTTTGCATTGCTAAGATATTTTTTGGTTTGTTGGTTAAAACATACTTGTATTCAAGCAAAGCTCTGTCGAGATCTCCTGGATTAAAAAAATATAAACAGTATATAAAATATACAGTGATTTAAGTAAATCCTTTGAAAAAATGTATATAAACAGTGAATTTTGTCAAAATTTTTATAGAAAAAAGATGTTTGTGCACATTTTTATCATTTTGTTAAAATATTTTGTGTAATTTCAACTTTGTTTTGTTTATTTCATGAAAGGAAACTCCTGATATCAGATTATGGATTATGCATCCTTTTTTTTAACCAAGTAGGGTCTAAGGTATTTTAAGATTAAGTAACTTTTTCTGTTACTTATAAGAGCTGATGTAAACCTTTTCTATGCAAGTAAAGCCCATGATAGTAATGTCCATCAATGCTGTCAGGCTGGTTGCTCAAAGCTTGCGTGATGTAGCCCTCAGCTGGGTGGTAATCCTCCTGCAACAGGTGGTATTTACCCAGGGTGAGCAGCCCTTCAAGGTAGTTGGGGTCAAGGTCAAGGGCACGCTCCACTAGGTTCAGACCAGCCAGGTTGCCTTCCTCTCTGTAAGATGAGAGACCCCAGGTTTACTTTGTGTAGCCTCTAAATTCATATAATGTTGGCATATTTTTATGGAGCTGGTGATATCCAGCTCATTAAATGCATAAAAACAATAGTTTACTTATCCAATATAAACATTTTATTTGAACATATCAGTTTATCAAGTTCTTGTGCAGAAAAATATTCTACAGAAGTTTATAAATTCTAATAAAATATTTCTTTTTCTTATTAAAACTCAACATATTAATGAACTTTTTGCTTTCTGATGATCATTTAACTTTAACATTGTTGAGTGTTAATAAAAACTTACTTTATTTCAACTGCATTGAAAGTGTTTTCTAAAGACTTTACTGGTGATTTCAGTGGTAAGATACTCTTAAAAAGTTACTTGTATTAGGCTTCAACTTAAATTACTTGCCACAGCAATACTAACCTATCCCATTTCTAACCCTTTTTCTAATCCTAAAACTCTAAAGAATTTTTAATTTTATTGCAATATTCCATTGGTTGAGATCTGTGTGAAAAATACTCTTCTTTCTTTTTCTGCTTTCTTAATTTTAGTGTTATTTTAGGCTGTTGACTTCAAATTCAGCCTGCTTTTATTTTTGGATTTGCTCCATAGCCTTCGTCCAAACAAGAACAAACTACAAGGCAGCAGTTGTTTGATTTTGGAGTTGTCTCTCCTAGAGGAATTGCTGTCCCTCATCTGAAAGTTGTATTTATTTTATGAACCACATGTTTCATGCATGCTAATGTACTTACAGCATTAAACCACCAAGGTTAACCATTGCACCTTTGTGGTTAGGTTTTAGCCTTAAGGCCTCCAGGTAGCACATTTTTGACTCTGTGCTGTTAGCTAGCACCGCCCCCAGATTAAGGTGGTAGCTTGCATGGTTGGGATTGTACCTGCAATATAGGTGGGGCTAAAGTAGTCCTTGTATCAGATAATAATGTTTCAATGATATGTATCAAAGGTACTCATGATATCAGACTAAATTGATGTTTCACTCCAAATAAATCCAAACAATGTTTTTTATGTTATAGTAGTTTAAGTAAGGAAACTTCAAATCTTTTTTGCTAGAGGTTATTTATTTCAGTCAGTGGCGTCAATAGGTCAGGTGTCATCCTGTGCGGTAAATGAGGGAGTCCCCCCCCCTCCAATAATTTTGAATTTTTGGCTTGGTGTCACCCCTCTTCCCAATAATTTTATTATTTTGCTGGACTATAAATTGTTAATGCAGCAAATTTTACCATTTATTGATTTCGTGTCACCCCTAAAATGGTATCACCCTGTGCGCCCCCCCCCCCCTCAACACTTTAAGTCCCATTTACAATGACAACATTCTGTTGAATGCAGTCTTTGAACTCACTTGATAGCCAGACGGTAATGGACCTCCGCCATTTTGATGTCCCCTTCGTCCCTCAACAAGTTGGCCATGTTGTAGTGAACCTTCCCATTTTCTGGCAAATCCTTGACCCCTGACCTATGGACAACACAAACACACAGGTGTAAAAATTATTATCAGTATTAGTTTCTTCATCATAGACACACAAAACACAGCAACGAAATATGTTGTAGACTTAATGAATATTAAATCTAACCTTGAATTACTGAAAACAACCCCCGAAAAAGTCTACCGCCCCCCCCTCCCCCGAACGAAATGGAATTTATAAAGGAAATATATACTTTTAACAGTGCCCCTCCCCCCCCCCCGAAAAAGCCTACCGCCCCCTCCCCCCCCCCCCCAACGAACGAAATGGAATTTATATAGGAAATATATACTTTTAACAGTGCCCCTTCCCCCCCCCCCCCAACGAACGAAATGGAATTTATATAGGAAATATATACTTTTAACAGTGTCCGCCCTCCCCGGTAAAAGTCTATCGCGGGGGGCGGACACTGTCGGGGAGGTGGTAGACTTTCTTCGAAGAGATGCCTGAAAGAAACTCTGCGTACCCCCCCCCCCCCCCCCGCCCACTACGAAACAGAAAACAAGTTGATAAGAAAATATATAACCAAAATCCCCCCCCCCCCCACCCGGTAAACTTTCTAATGCCCCGTGAAGACAAATTCGTGAGTTAAGGGTCGGCTTAAGAACTATGACTTAGTACACATCTTGTATTATTTTGTTTAATGATGAAAAACAATTTCATATTAGTTTAGAATAAGATGAAGCTTTGTGACGTATCTTGAGCTGTAGCTTGATGTCATTTAGGCTACAGATGACCTCGACCCTCCCTCCCCCACCCCCTTCTAAAAACATGTTATTTATCTAAGCGCCATAGCCACACAATATTATTTACCTCCCTTCACCCCCATCCCCACCAGTTATACCACTTTCGCACAGCAAATGTGCTTGAAATTTTAGCATAAATTATGAAACAAAAATCTATCTTTGTTTGATTTGTTCCCTTACAAAACGACTCCGATTTTTCAAACATTTGCTAAGTACTTTTAAATAGCGAACAATCTAGGCAAATCAAATAAGCCCATTGTTGATCTGTCTAGCACACACCCACGCCGTATAAGTTTGCTTCAGCGACAAATTTATCGTGTAGGAGCAGGGCAGGGATTTAAGCAAATAATTTAATTCTTTGACTCTATTTTTCCCCTGAAACCTCAAGTGGAGAGTTAGAACTGTGGCGGGGATAGATTGACCCGGCCATTGTGTTGCCTGTCATTCAGGTTAAACTAAGATAAGCCACGCAACAAGATTTAGCTTTAAAATAGCTAGATCTAAATACAGGCAGTTTCATTTAGTCCACCCCCCCCCCCCCCCCAAGAACGAATTATAAGTTATATAGAAAATATATACTTTTACGAATGTCTGCCCCCCCCCCCCTCGAATAATTTAGTCCACCGACCCAAAAATTCCAAGTGCCCCCACCCCCCAAGAGGAAAAAAGTTCTGAAAGAAACACTGAATACAGGGAAATAAAACGCGTAAGTTTTATTTAAATTTAACCTAAATGACTATTGAAATTTCGCCTGGTTGGTACTTCGATGAGGTAGGCTAAAAAGAAATTATAAAGATCAAAGTCCAGAGCTTATGTTGATAGTGAAGGGAATTATGATAAGGCGCTGATTGTTAACGTGAGGTTAATTGTTCGCAGCTATGTATAAATGAGGGTTTTGATTGTTGCACAAGTAAACACATTCATTGGGTTACCAGATTCTCAGACATTGACTGACAGAAAACAAAACTCATAACCTACAGAACGATTTGTAGAATCCTAGAAGTTGTAGACAAACATGAACACATTGACAGGGATTTCTGAAAACATAGACAGGCTAATGTACAGGATTACTTAACAGACAAACACACAGAACAACGAACTTCTGGAGTCCCAGACTTTAACAGACAGACAACAGACAAACACACAGACCTGAACAACGAACTTCAGGGATCAAAGACTTTAACAGACAGACGACAGACAAACACAGACCTGAACAAAGAACTTCTGGAATCAAAGACTTTAACAGACAGACGACAGACAAACACACAGACCTGAATAACGAGCTTCTGGAGTCCCAGACTTTAACAGACAGACGACAGACAAACACACAGACCTGAACAACGAACTTCTGGAATCAAAGACTTTAACAGACAGACGACAGACAAACACACAGACCTGAATAACGAGCTTCTGGAATCCCAGACTTTATCAGACAGACAGACGGCAGACAAACACACAGACCTGAACAACAACTTCTGGAATCCCAGACTTTAACAGACGACAGATAAACACACCGACCTGAACAACGAACTTCTGGAGTCCCAGACTTTAACAGACGACAGACAAACACACAGACCTGAACAACAACTTCTGGAATCCCAGACTTTAACAGACGACAGATAAACACACCGACCTGAACAACGAGCTTCTGGAGTCCCAGACTTTGTTTCTGTGGATGGTTCGGGTCGCCATGACGACCAGAAGACAAACAAAGCTGACCATCAGCGCGACCTTGAACTTAGGAAACCTCGAGCTCAGCACCTGATGACCGTGGGCGACCAGCAGACAGAAGCCAATACTGCAGAGAGTGGATGTCAAATGTCAGACTGTTGGCATCTGACAAAATATTTGTCAAATGTCACATTGATGGCATTTTGATAAAATTTATTATGTCAAACACCACACTGATGGCATTTTAAAAAAAATTATTTCTTTTATGTTATATAGTTTTATTCCGTATCAAAACTTTTCGAAGATCATAATTTAAAAAAAAATCTTTAATAATTAAACATGGCGAAAGTTTTTTTCTTTTAGATCCCTCTACTACCCCTCCCTTAAGTCCCTTTTTCCGTGTGTTGGGTGATGTGACGTGTTGAATATACGTTGATAAACAGACTAAGCACTGGTTGACACTAGGCTCAATCTAACAACTTTGAAAATGTTTGATAGTTGCTGTCACTTGTATGGAAACAACCCTCTCAACCCCAGATAACTCAGCTGATAAAACATAAAAAGTTGCAAGGGGACGCAAACACCAGTCAGTGTACACGTGATGTGGTTCTTTCCCCTTGCCGCCTAACTTGGTAGTGCTAAATATGTTTCCAATAATCTTCTTCTTCGTTCTTAATTTTAGTGTTGAAAGGGATCCCCCTCCAACACAATTAAGTATACGTGTCAAATGGTTATGCGCCATTGAGGCCATTGACTCCGATTTCAGCCTGCTTTTCTTTTTTGATTAGCTTCCATAGCCTTGTTCCAACCAAGAACAAACTACAAGGCAGCAGTTGTAAAACTTAATTCAATCTTAAACTTGAATACGATTTGAATTCCCAAAGACATAGCTACACATAACGCGTGTGGTATTCTTGTTTCTCCCTACCCCATATTATAGAGACGACAACTTAAGCGGACACCCCCTCCACACCTCATCCGTGACGCCTCTTTGTATACCAAGCTACAAACCACCGAGCGTGTATTAGAAAAGAGCACTGTTGGTTTTGTCGTACCCCACCGTTTTGCTTGATATGGAATGGTACGGCTATTCCAATTGAAAACAAAAAATGTAAGTTCATTAAACAAAACCCTGTTTATGGCACATCACTTTTCTAAAACACCTTTTTTTTTCTTCCCTTCATTGACGATATTAGACATACCGATTCATTGAAAAAAAAGGAAGAAAAAAAAAACGTTTTCCTTAGATTAGACTCCCATGACTCCATGAGTCTACACCTAAAGCGTCTAACACCCTGCTGACTCCATGGTGGTCGTCAACTCCCACGCGAACCTCTGGGAAGTTTTTAATGTGTTCACGATTCATTAACGTTCATAAACCCGCCTACTCGTCCTGTCGACACGCACATGCGCCCCATCGAAGAGGCGGTGGGAAAGGGTGGGGAGGGGGGGGGGGGGTATCAGTGACAACATCTCCAGCAGACCATGGCCCCAGTCAACAACATCGGGATATGCGTCAGATCTACCGACATGACATTATGGTAGTTGGACGCGACCCGGTGTTGAAAAAAGCGGGTCATCTGAAACGGGTCAGCGATCACGAAAACCATCTCCAGCCTTGTGGAGTGTTTAGAGACCTACACGAAAACCATCTCCAGCCTGGAGTGTTTAGAGACCTACACGAGGGTGCTGGGATAATATTAGGTCCCATACCGCGAGACTTGATCAAGTAGATCTATAACAACGGGACTTGCACATGTACATCGATAACAACGGAACTTGCACATGTACATCGATAACAACGGGATTTGCACATGTACATCGATAACAACGGGATTTGCACATGTACATCGATAACAACGGAACTTGCACATGTATATCTGTAACAACGGGACTTGCACATGTACATCTATAACAACGGGATTTGCACATGTACATCGATAACAACGGAACTTGCACATGTATATCTGTAACAACGGGACTTGCACATGTACATCTATAACAACGGGATTTGCACATGTACATCGATAACAACGGAACTTGCACATGTATATCTGTAACAACGGGACTTGCACATGTACATCTATAACAACGGGATTTGCACATGTACATCGATAACAACGGGACTTGCACATGTATATCTGTAACAACGGGACTTGCACATGTACATCGATAACAACGGGACTTGCACATGTACATCTATAACAACGGGACTTACACAATATGTACATCGATAACAAAGAGACTTGCACACTATATCCGCGAGTATTGCATAATATTTTTTACATCCCCACGAAATGATACCGAGGCCTAGGCTTTATGTAAAAGTTTGAGTGCAATGTTACTGAGATCTAGGATTTATGTAAATTGTTGAGACATGTCACCTTAGTGCAGTGTTACTTCTTCTTCTTTCTTCTTCTTCGTTCTTAATTATTAGTGTTGAAGGGGATCGAGATTTATCTGCCAGTGCGTTTGAACTCGAGACTGTTCGAATTTATTAACCATGAGCTTTTTGCCGACTCGACCACGCCTCCAACACAATTAAGCGTTACGTGTCAACTGGTTATGCGCCATTGAGGCCATTGACTCCGATTTCAGCCTGCTTTTCTTTTTGGATTTGCTTCCATAGCCTTTGTCCAACCAAGAACAAACTACAAGGCAGCAGTTGTTTAATTTTGGAGTTGTCTCTCCTAGAAGAGTGGCTGTCCCCAGCTAACGAGCCTCATCTGCCCGGGGGTTCGAACTCGAGACTTTTCGGTTTAGCAACCATGAGCTTTACCGACTCGACCACGCCGACCCCTGCAGTGTTACTGAGATCTAGGATTTATGTAAATTGTTGAGACATGTCAACATAGTACAGTGTTACTGAGATCTAGGATTTATGTAAATTGTTGAGACATGTCACCTTAGTGAAGTGTTACTGAGATCTAGGATTTATGTAAATTGTTGAGACATGTCACCTTAGTGCAGTGTTACTGAGATCTAGGATTTATGTAAATTGTTGAGACATGTCAACATAGTACAGTGTTACTGAGATCTAGGATTTATGTAAATTGTTGAGACATGTCACCTTAGTGAAGTGTTACTGAGATCTAGGATTTATGTAAATTGTTGAGACATGTCACCATAGTGCAGTGTTACTGATATCTAGGATTTATGTAAATTGTTGAGACATGTCAACTTAGTGCAATGTTACTGAGATCTAGGATTTATGTAAACGTTTGGGACAGGTCAACTTAGTGCAGTGTTACTGAGATCTAGGATTTATGTAAATTGTTGAGACATGTCAACATAGTACAGTGTTACTGAGATCTAGGATTTATGTAAATTGTTGAGACATGTCACCTTAGTGAAGTGTTACTGAGATCTAGGATTTATGTAAATTGTTGAGACATGTCACCTTAGTGCAGTGCTACTGAGATCTAGGATTTATGTAAATTGTTGAGACATGTCACCTTAGTGTAGTGTTACTGAGATCTAGGATTTATGTAAACGTTTGAGACAGGTCAACTTAGTGCAGTGATGTACTTGAAAACGCGGCATGTCAAGATGACCTGTCTCAAGTGTGAACCAAGCCAACTTGGTTGTAATTAAAAAGTAGACCAAACCATCACCGCTACCTGCCGTGTTTAAATAGGTGTAAGGTCGTTTTACTAGGGAAATTTAAAGGTAATTTAGTGTTACCGGGGAAATTTAAAGGTAATTTAGTTTTCCCGGCTATGTTAAGGTTATGTAATTTTTTCTCGGGCATGTGAAGATTATGTAGTTTACAACGGAACGTAAAAATAACTTTGTTTTCCCTGGGATTGTAAATAATTTTTCCTAGGATTGCTAATCATTTTACCTGGGGATGTAAATAATTTTACCTGGGATTGCAAATAATTTTACCTGGGATTGCAAATAATTTTACCTGGGATTGCAAATAATTTTACCTGGGATTGCAAATAATTTTACCTGGGGATGTAAATAATTTTACCTGGGGATGTAAATAATTTTACCTGGGATTGCAAATCATTTTACCTGGGGATGTAAAGTATTCTCTCGGCCACGACAAAGCCAACAGTGAAGAAGAGATTGGAGGCGGGAATGTAGGGCAGCACCATCATCAGCACGGCAACAACAGGCAGCAACCTCGCTTTGGTTCTTGTGCTGTCTTTGTTTTCCTGTGGAGATATGAGAAGGTATCGACTAGTGTGGCGTTGGTGTTTAGAGGGTCTAAATAAATATTTTAAATTGTTGGTGGAGTTGGGAACTTCTAGCCCAGGGGTTCCCAACCTTTTTTTTTTACTCTAGAGCACATTCTAAAATATCGGTAGGGTGGCGGGCACCACCTATTTTAAATTGACAAACTCTTTCCAGAGGCGTAGCGACCCTTCCCGTCACCCGGGGACAAAACTTTCGATTTGCATCCCCCCTCAAACTTTCGATTTGCACCCCCCCCCCCTCAAACTTTCGATTTGCAACCCCCCTCAAACTTTCGATTTGCAACCCCCCTCAAACTTTCGATTTGCAACCCACCCTCAAACTTTCGATTTGCACCCCCACCCCTCAAATTTTCGATTTGCACCCCCCCCTTCAAACTTTCAATTTCCATCCCCTTCAACCTTTCAATAATGTTTATGAAAAAAATTATGTCTCTGTCGAATAGTGAGAGGCGGGCACATACGAATCGTTCGGCGGGCGCCATAGCGCCCGCGGGCACGGGGTTGGGAACCCCTGGTCTAGCCTGTCATTTGTCTAGTAAAAATCATAGATCTGAAGTGGCTGGTTAAGAAGAACAGAGAATATCGGTTGTGTTTATTGCTTTGTTGGGTTTTCATATGTAATTATGTTCATGAACTAGCCTATTCCATGAAATTAAAGTAAATTACACTTCTCTTCGTCTATCTTAAAACAACATAAAGAATGAACAAATGTAAAGGAGGGAGGGGTGTAGTGTTTATTCAGATGGGGCTGTCGTGGGATAGATGGGGGCAGAATTAGAATTTATCTAGAAGATATGGATTATTGAAAATATATACTTTTACCAGTTTCCGCCTATCCCATTTCCCACGGAGAAAAAAGTCTGAAAGAAACACTGGGAGGGGTCATGGAATAGGTGGGTCTAATACGTTTGAGTGAAGCTTGAGTGGGGGGGGGCAAGATTTTGCTGGTGTATAGTGTGTATTGGGAACGGGAATTATATTTTTTTTAAATTGTTCTGTCAGCAGCACCAATAACAATTGTTGGCAGGTTGTGTTCTCAGATCTCTCGAGCCGTCCTTTACCTGGCCACTCATCGTCCTCAGACATGCGCAGCATACAAGAAGTGACGTCACGTAGAACGCCAGCGTGTATACATTGCGATGATCAGCCCATGACTCAATCAGGGGAATGCTCGTCCCTGACCAATCGTAGCTCAGCAGAGACGGGTTGAGTAGCAGCCACGCATTGAAATACGACAGATAGTTGAAGGTCAATGACCTGTATCAAAAGACAACAAATAAATAAGTAAACAAGTAACTAAAGTGAGAAATAAATTTTAAAAATATAATAAATATACAGATAAGTAAATCAAACTGAAATACTTAACCAATTTAAAATAAATTATTTATCTAAGAAATGTTTTCAAGCTTTCTGTGACGTGATTAAAATGACGTCACCTGGCTAGAAATGACGTAGCGAAAGCCGCCGGGTTGTCCTCCTGTTTGAAGGTCGGCTGCTGAAAGTTCATGGCCAACCCCCTCACTAGCAGAGCCGTGACCACCTGTGACGACACAAAATTTTACGCTTGACTGGTCATGGATGGTGGGGATAAGGAAATAATGGATCGAATTTCGGGGTATGAAAATGAATGGTCAATTTTCAGGACATATTATTATTTGGTTGATTGCAGGGGTAAGAAAGTGAACGGTCGATTCTAGGGTTGAGGAAATAAATGGTCGATATTAAGTGGGAAGAAAGTGAATGAGCGAGTTGTAGGGGAAATGAAATGAAGTGTCGTCAGTCTGAATAAAAAAAATAAACAGTCAATTGCAGGGTAAGTAGGCCTACTGTATGACTTACTACTCCGGACCCCCCCCCCCCCGAGTATACTGTACGACCTACAACTCTGCTTGTAGGTATGACGTATAACCCCGCTCGTACTGTATGACCTACAACTTCCATTGGACGTATGACATACAACGCAGCTTGTATTGTATGACCTACAGCCCCACCCCCGGTACAATAAATAACTCACAACACAACACCGCCATTTGAAAACACTAACAGCTTGAGTCGAGGGAGGGAGTTAGGGAGGGAGGGAGAGAGGTAGGGAGGGAGCAACTCACCGTTATTGTGATGACGACACAACGTTTGACACATCGTACAGAGTTAACAGACAAAGTTCTTTGCATGAAGTCCCTGTGTGTTGGGCGGGGGGTGCAGGGGAATAAGTATACAAATTAGAAAGACATCATCCTTCAAAAGTTGAAATACTAGATTCTTTTTTTAAAGAGTAAAAGAATTCTTTTTAAATTAATTACTTCCCGTAAAACATGTTAGCAGGCCGTTCTTCAGGTCTGGTATTACATTATCCTTACATCTAAACTAAAGAAAATGTTGCAGGAGCTTTTACTCCGTCCCTCCTCCCAAACCCTGCTTAGTCTTCTCCTCCCTCTCCCCTCCCCTGATGATAGTAACTGTTTTTAAACAACCTCAACAAGTGTTTGATAATAACCCCCCACCCCTCAACCCCCAATACGAATCATAAACATGAAACCACACCTTCTGATATCGTTTCTCGTCACGATGACGTCATAGCAGAAGACCACGCCCAAAACCGTGATCCCAGTCTCCTTACACAACATGGCGGCCACGGCCAACAGCATGGCCGACAGCATGGCCCAAACATGGGTGGCCCTCGCGGACCCGGGGCAGGGGGTGATGTTGTCGTTGACGTCACGGTGGTGGTCAGTCTCTGCCGTCTCCTGGCAAGGTTCTGTGGTGACACACCTGGTGGAATGGACATGACGTTAGAGCGAGTGATGGCGGGGAGCAGCTGAAACTGTGCACAAAGCACGCTACAATTCACTACCAGAGTTTCTTCCAGGCATCTCTTCGGGGGGGGGGGGGGGGGGGGGGGTTGCTCCCCCCGCTTGCTGAGGAAAGTATAGGCGGCTTGACTTTGTGAAGACAACAGAAAAACAACCGAAATATCAGGCTTTAATTGTTGTAGTTCTAAATGTATTCAGTTAGTTTGGCGCACGCAAATATAAAAAAACAACAGAACTAACAACATCAGAGTATAAACAAACATTTGTAATGTTGTTGTTTAAGTTATCGCCTTATTGATAAGAAGCGATACCGTAGATTAGATAACAAATTATCACCAGCTCTGCTGCTATTGGTAGATATATGTTGATACAGCGAATATTATAGATTTATTAGATTATAGCATAGCTTAAAATAGTACTAAATAAGCGAATGACCAGCCGTACCCACACATGTTTGCAAATCCTACCTACTGTTAGGGGGTGTTAGCCCCACCCCACCCTACCCCAATGGTCTCCGAAAATGACAAAAATCAGAATTTGCGTTGGTTTGCTCGTGACAGTTTAAATAAATAGTTTCAGTTTAAAATCTTCGATATCGCAAAATCTCAGTGGAGCTCTCTTAAAATCTTAAAATATATGAATAAAAAATGTATACATGCAATACATTTTGGACCCCCCCCCCCCCCCATTACCAAATTCAGCCCAGTCCACCGACTAACATTTTCCATTATTAAATCTTAGAGACAACAAACTAATAATCTCTTTTGGGTAAACAGTCTAGCGTTCTACCACTAGGACACGCCGTCCCCTATACCGATGTCACAGAAACAAGTGAACTCGAGATCACTTGCCCCATGGGCCGTCGGGTTTGAAAAGTGAACTTTACATACTAATTATGGGACGGAGTAGTCTAGCGGTAGAGAGCTGGACTGCTAACCCGTAAGTCTCGAGTTCGAATCCGGGTTCATGTTAGTAGACCGTCCCTGAGTCCACCCAACTCTGATGGGTACCTAACTCACGTTAGGGAAAGTAAAGGCGGCTGGGCATAGTGCTGACCACACTATCTCTTCATATGC